CAAAAACCCCAAAATCATCCTCTGATTCTCTGGCGCTACCTGTATCATACGTCATCCAAGGCTATGCGGATGACCTGGAGTCCCTTTTTTTCGTGTTCGCTTGGGTTTGCATCAAGTTTTGTGGTCCCAACGGTATGGTGCGGGAGCGCTTGCCCAATTCGTTGGTGGATCGTTGGACCAGCCTTGACCTGGGATCGTGCGCAGCCTTCAAGATCACCTTTTTCGCTTATCCAGGAGAGGAAAAGCGTCTCACAGACCAATTTCACCCGTACTTCAAGCAGCTGATCCCCCTCGCAGTAGAGTGGCATAGAGTTCTGGTGGACAACATGATCCACCCCGTTACCTTCGACACCATTCTCGCTGTACTCAACTCTCATCTCGACAAACTCCCCGACGACGAGGAGCTCGTATCTGCTGTGGACATGCTCAGGAATGATGCTGCCATTCTCACGAAACATGTTAAGGGCAAACGGATTGCTTCAGACCCTCCCTCTGTAGTAGCACCCAAGCGGCAAAAGTCTCATCATAGTGATACCGAGTCTGACTCAGCATCGGGCAGTGACGCATGACCAGGAGGTGAAGCCTACTCATTACACATATTCAGCTATTTTTCTTCTTCACTGACTTAGTATGAATGACATGTTTAACTTTAGCAGTAGTATTTCTAGAATCTCGCTGGCTTGTACTATTAGTATGTTGCGTTTTTACTATAGTTCACTGACCGGTACCTATGATATTGTTGTTCTGACTATATCGTTCTTTTTCAAGCTTTTTTCAAGCGTTTATCTTTTTACAATCAAGATACTAGTAGTACGCCAGGATCTGATATAGTATCACTACTAGTAGGTTCTGGTACGATTCATGTTATGTGTAGCATTTTTGCTTACGTGATCGGCAATTTCTCTTATGAGTACCATTACCAATGACGAAGGTTTTTTCACGCTAGTCATGCGAATCGATTCGGAGTACGACGTGATAGTAACAATCCTCATGGTGGTATGTTTCTTTATTACTATCATTCTTATTAATGATAAACTTTTCTCTCGCTACCCATACAGCTATTAAGTATTAGTACACGGATGAGCCATGGTATAAAATCATCGTAAGTCTGGGATAATTTATCAGAGTCACTTCTTCCTCTGTTCTTCATTACAGTCATGCCTCCTCGTGCCATCGCCAGTCCTAAGAAGAAACGATCTGGCAAGCGCAAAGGATCCGATGCTTCAAAGGCTGGCTTGCCAAAGAAGTCTCGGGCTGCAGACATTGCTGAGGTACCCAGCACGGTACCCCTCGTGTCCCTTTGCCTGACTGGAGCAGAAGCGGAACAAAATGCTCCCCGGCGTTCTGGTCGCCCTAACGCGGGAACTGGAGGTAGGAATGCACAACTGGAGAAGATTGGATCAGTATTGCAATCCAAGCCTCGGACTCAAGAACGTAAGGGTACAACGTCCCTTGGTCTCAATGTTCCAGTCAATCCTCAAGCCCCAGAACCGCGTCATAGAGGTTGAAAGAATCATTCAAAGGTAGGCGTCCAATTAATTCTGTTACTCATATTGATTGTTTCGTAGGCAGTTCCTCCACCCTACAGCTCACTCGTTAGGGATGCTCCAGATGCCCCAGCCAAGGACATTATCGCCACAGGGCCCAGCTTTACATCCCAGCAACCTGGTGAAAGGTTTGGATTTGTTGCTCCAACAGAAATAGCTCATTCCGGTACTGCCCAGCCCAATATTCAGGCATTGCACAACCCGCATGTCACCATTGGGGCGAAGGACGCTGAGCAGCGCGCTCGGGACGCCATTGCCAAGCAACGAGCTCGAGATGCCATTGCCGAGCAACGAGCTCGAGACGCCATTGCCGAGCAACGAGCTCGAGATGCCATTGCCGAGCAACGAGCTCGGGACGCTATCGCTGAGAAGCGAACTCGGGATGCAATTGCTGAGCGACATACCCAGAACGCTGTCTCTGAAGATCCAGTGGTTTTGCCAAGGTCCGTCTTTCGGGAGGAGAATTTAGATCCAGCCCTACGTCAGCATGATGACACTGTTAGGGCTCAGCGTCGTCTGACGTCGTTTGAATCTGATGACAGTGACTCTAAAGACTGTAGCAGTGATGACAGCGATGATAGCAATGATAAAGATGCTGATGAAGAGGACAGCGGAGAGGATGACGAGGAGGAGGGGGGAAATGATGATACGGTCAAGAGCTCACAGCAGTTTGGTTGGGGGGAGGCTGGCCGACACCAGAAAGAACACCCAGGTACACATTCTCGTCGTGTGATTTCGCTTCACTAATTCAATGTTATAGGGTTTGTGGAGGATGTACCACCTTCGCAATCTCCAGTCGCTCGCCCTCTCACACCTGAAATTCAGTTCCAGTACTCACGCGATGAAGATGATGTAGTTGCCCAGACGAGCCTTGATAAAACCTCGGTAAGTTTTCTGCTCAAGCCGGGAGTAACTCTCATTTTATATTGTTAATCCAGCGGAACGAAAGCTCTCAGGTATGGCCATATCGTTCAATTGTATCATGCTTACCATTGCCTTTCTTTCAAGGACCCTCCGGATATCTCACCAGGACCGCGGCGGCAAGCATCCCAACACATTGAGGTGAGATCAGGGAGACCATTTTAATTGACACTCACCATCGAGCAGACCATCACCTCGAAGCCTGACGATGTACTACAACGCCATCATAAGAAAAACGGAAAGCCCCGTCTTCCTGATCCTGAATCCCTCGAACTGCTGAATCAAGTGTCCGAGTGTGATGTTCAGCCATTGAAAAACAAAAAGTCTAGGTCATCGCGTGGTGGGCCAACACCCGATCAATTATCTTGGTACGGACCACGCTGGAAAAGTTTCTTGGAGGACGCCAAAGTAGAATGTCGCGCGCAACACGCCCTGGAGAACCCGTTTCCAACTTTGGTGAAGAATCTTCCAGGAACAATCACTGAAGTTCTCATTGCAGTATTGGTTGTGTGGGATACGAACGGTAAACAATTTGAAGCTGGTAGGCACTTGTTCGTTCTCATTCGTTCTCGAACTAATATGTCATATTCTGATGCAGGGGTTTGGCCAGAACACAAATTTAATATGACTTGGTTGGTGCGTGCATAACTGACTTTGTGCCAATATCTCGTTGACAGTCTGTATTAAAGCTGTACGACGATCTTTCGACTTGGCGATCTGACTTGAAGAAAACAGCCATAAGCATTGCACCAGTATCATATTCGCTTATTCCTCCGCTTTCTGTCCCCGTTCAGGAACGTGCTGCTTGGGTCGAGCACACTGCTGCTGAATTGATCAAGGAAGCATTCTTCTTACGCTTTGGGGTGGACGATCAGGTAAGTGATCTTGTGGTGATCGCAACTCTACTGATGGAAGATTTCTAGGGGAGAACACGAAACTTCGCTCATCCCGCCCTTCGTGAAGCCGTCATCACATTCTTTTACACAGGACCATATCGAATTGCACGAAGGATGCCGGAGACCTTTAGCACGGAATTGCCACTCTCATGTTTGGCTTTGGTTGCTGCGGCGGTAATTTTGTCTCCCTCGCCAATGTCATGTGTTAATTTTCTGTCTTGAAACTAGTTCAATTGTGTCTTCGACGGTCTTGTGAAAAACGGACATGGGAAGTCATACCCAAACTTTTCCACCAAGGACTACGGCCCCGTCTATTGTCGGATGCTCGAATTGCTCAAACATATCCTTGAGGATGCGTATCATGGGCCTAGGCTGTCAGCTCAACTGCGAGAATGGGCTGCAGCGGGATGGTGAGGATCTTTTCTCTCTGATAATTTTTTTACTGATTTTCATTTGTACAGGGCTGCAGCTATGAATCTCGAAGGAGTTGTTGATGCCAGACACGACCACCTGCAGATTCTTCTTGACTAAAAGCTTCGTATTCCCGCTCCCCAGTTTATATCAAGCATTTATCGTGTTTGGCGCACGTATCATTGTATTTACTGTTTGTCGTGGTCATGTGATTCAATATATTGGTTTTGTTTTTTTGTTTTAAAATTTTTGTGTTGTCCAGTGTGTGTAAGCAGTACAGCGAGCAAATGTCTGTACAGCTCCGGGTCTCTGAGTGCTCTGTGGGTGTCTGTACAGAGATGGACAGCGAAAAAATTTGCAATTCAAGTAGATTTTCGTAATTACTGGGCGGTCTGTAGGTGTCTGTACAGAGATTCACAGCGCAAGGTGTCGCTGTGATGGACTGGCTAATTGGGACCAAGCTGTAGCGCTTGCACGCTGTACAGCGCTGTACAGCGCTGCACAGTGCAAAGTGGTTTACTGATGTGGGCAACTACTATGCAACGTGGCTGCGGCACCAAAGATCTTCTGCTTATAAACCGATTCATCTCCATACTAGTCTTGAACTCGGCAACTGTCAAATTCATCGCTACAGTGCCTGGGGCCAAGTCTTGAAGATTTGTGGTCGTGGGTATCTTGACAAATCTGCCGAGGCTTGATGTAAATGTTCTACTGGTATCGCTTGGCTAGTGATTGGATCCTATTGCATTCTTCAAAGTGCTCCGTTGTGTCCTGCATGCCAAAAATAGGTCTAAAGGCGGTAGCTGTAACTGACATGACAGCCTAGCTGCCTCTCGAACCATCAATGGTTATTCGGGGGATCCGTTGCAACGCCCCCGGCCAATGGTATCCACAAAACACGCGGAAGACATGAAAGCGCATTCAGGCACTCCGGTCAAGCGACAAGTCCCTTTTGGATGGTACCCAGCTTCGAAGAGCTCGTATCGCTGATGGAGAGTGCCTTTGACAGGTAATCAAAATTTCCATTCTACAAGTCCGTAATGCATTCCTTGGACGTACCAGGACAGGGAATTACTGCCTCGTAGTCGATTATTTCGATCCACGAATCAGAAGATATGGAGACCAACTCTGTGATATAGAGGGCGATACCAGGAGCACTACTTAAGCTGGAGGATGCAATGCATTTCGCTCATTGTCCTCCTCCTATTGACTCGGGCGTTGAGTCATGTTCCAACTCTATGTATTCCTATGCTTTCTGGCGAGCCTCCAGAGTCGTGCCTCGATTATCGGCCCAGTTTCTGACCTCGTCGTCGCCAATGGCATTGTATCCCCAGACGGGTTTACCAGATCGTCAGTGTGATATTTGATTACTGAATTTATTGCAGGGCAGTTCTTGCTGGTGGCACTCAACCCGGGCCCACTATTGTAGCTCAGAAGGTAGCATCTGCTTTGCATGCGCAAACTCTTGGTTGACCTCATATATATTTAGGGGGATACGTTCAAGATTAACGTCACGAACCAATTGACTGACGACTCGATGCTAACGAGTACCAGTATCGTAAGTACCAGCCAATAAATGCATGTAGGAGCTTACGATGATGTCTGTTGCATACAGCACTGGCATGGACTATTCCAACATCACAGCAACCAAATGGACGGCGTGTCATCTGTCCTATTGCTCCAGGACACCCTTTTTTGTATGACTTCAATGCTAGCGAACAAGTGGGAGCGTATTGGTACCACTCCCATTATGGAGTGCGTGCTTCGATTTATTCATGGTGTCGGCAACTGATTTTAATTCAGGTCCAATACTGCGATGGTCTACGAGGTCCGCTGATCATCTACAATCCCAACGACCCATACAGTTCATGGTACGATATCGATGACGGTGAGTGCGTTCGACGAAAGGGAGTTGCGTTTCTCATATTTGAATGAAGAGTCTAGCATCATCACATTGATGGACTGGTAAGAAAAGAAAAGGCTGATACATCTTTTTCTGTTATTGATTCGGCTTGCTTTGTAGGTACAACTTGCCATCGCCTCTAGTACAGAGACAACTAATTGCCGACTCGGTGCTTATCAACGGTGTCGGGCGTTAAGTGCTGGAAGTAGCGCTTATAACCACGTCAATCCCGTCATGCGTGATACAGTGACCACTGGCAACACCGGCGATCGTGTGACTATCCGCTTCATCACAGACAACCCTGGGCCTTGGCTGTTACATTGGTAAGTGTTGTATCTATGTTTGTTTAGCTGGCAATGACTTTTTGTCTTTGTGAAGCCATACCGATTGGCATCTATCCGCGTGAGTTACTTCTTTCACTGAGCCTGGACTCCAATTAATTGTTGGATTCGTAGCGGACTAGCTATAGTATTCGCAGAGGCTCCTGAAGATGTGGCGGCTTCGCAGCCTTTCAATAGTAAACACCGAGCACTATGAACTAGACCAGGTCTGACGATCGGCGTTAGATGCTTCGAAGCAGTTCTGTCCGATATACAATAGCATTCCTCAACAGAATTTCCCTCTCCCTCCCGTTGATTGATATTATTGGTTTATACCTACTTTTATTCTAGGGAACATCAAACAGGACATTTTTCAAATGCGATTTGTAGATTCATAATAGGACTCGATAGATAGTAAATAGCCCTCATTCTTAATGTAGAAGTGATGTCTGAGCTGTGATCGACAACCAAGGTCATAAGTTCGCACAGCGAGCCCCTCGTGACATTGGCACCTATGTAAAGTGTTCCGTAGGTGTAAAAGGAAGATAGACAATCCTGTACGGTGACACATGTGATACGCCCTAGTCGTCTCAAAATAGCGGCTGTGTATGCGAGACTCCTGTGCGGGCAAGAACTACGAAAGTTCATGCGCACATCCGTTGGATGCAGCTATACTGCAGTCCAAAGGTGGCGATATGCCCAGAAATCGATAGACACGAGTCATATACCTGCCTCGCCCTTCACCTCTCGCAGCACAAACTAACGTTCCTACCTCCCCAACTTCATTCGCTTCCTATCAGGGGTATTCGAATTCAGAACAGCCGACGGAACACGTTTCTTGGCACTTATGCTCCACCCGCACTTTCCAAGCAGCAACACATCAGGCGAAGAGTTTAGGAGCCACGTTTCCTCCTCAGCATCCTCGTCTTCCTCCATTACATTGCCCAGGCTGTCAGAGGAGAAGTCAAGTAAAGGGACAGATGCGCCAGGAAACTCGCTGTCATCTGTGTCAAGCGGCGTAGGACTCGAAGATCGCCCGGTGGGGTGTGGACTCGAACTCCGAGCTGACGCATCTGACTTGGCACGGGGAGGTGGTTTCTTCACAGGGGTTGCTGTTACGAGGGTGATCGCTGGCGCTGCGCGAGATTGGGAGGATTGGGACTGGGAATTGGTGCGCCCAATGATACGCTTAGCGGTCGCAGCAGGTATTTTTATATCTGCTTGTGACACAGTAGCTGTCGACCGATCTTTTCCCTTCCATGTACGAGACATGTTGATCTGTCGGGTTAGCGCACGCTGGAGTGCCTTGTCCTGCGTTGCGCCTACGCTTGCTGCACGTTCCTTTTCTTTTTCCTGGGCGAGCGATACGGACAGCGAGCGAGTACGACCAGGAGCCCTTGTCGCTACACCACTTTGTGAGCCTGTTGCAGCTGACGATGAATGATGAGAACGAGACCCATGGAGTGATTTCTGTGTAGATGGTCCGGGAGAAGGGGGTTCGTCGGAGAAGGAAGAGTTTGGGAAGAGTTTGGAACGGAGGAGGGCACATTGCTCCGGTAGTTTCGATTTGAACCTGTAATGATTAGATGGTTAGTATTGTGGTTTATATATACGCAAGGTGGTCACTCACAGTGGTCCAACTACGTCCTCGCAAAACTTTTGCATCCAGTCACGTTCATTCTTGTTGTGGATCATAATCTCACTGCGAGATATATTCATAAGTGATACGAGCTGCCACATTGAGAGTTTGTCCATGAAGGACTCGAGGCGTTCGATCGAAGACGGGATGATCAAGTTTGGTTTCTCCTTCTTCTTTTTCCGTGAACGGTTGGGTTTGACGGGCGAAATAAATGAAATATTATTCATGGGTGGCACTTCGACAGGCGGTAATGGAGTGCATGGTCCAGGAAGAGAGAGCTTGAGGAAATAAAGCAGGATCTGAATCTGAACTCTACAAAGTCGTTATGATGTGCCCAAAAGCGAGACAAAAGGACTTACTCACGCTGCTCCATGCGCTCGAGCCAACCTGACCTCCATTTCTCTTCTAGCATCACGCTGTCTTCTCCGGTGAGGTGTTCGCCACGCCCTGCGCTGCCATCGACTTTCTCGTATCCCAAAGCATACCACATCATGCTCTCCTCTGCTTCACATGCACCGCCTCCGTCTGCAAGAATCTGAGGAAGCTCATTATGGTACTTGTTCGCGGCTGCGCGAAGAGAAAGAAGGAGAGGCTCGATAAAGGAGTGAAGAGGATGTGGCTGGTCTTCTGCGAGATTCGGAGTGCCTCGAATGCGGAGAAGAGATGGAATGAAGAGAGAGAGCGGCATTATTGACTATAGTGTTGTTAGTAAATATATAGAACGGTTAGAGAAGGTCGTACACGAGGAAGCCATAGGAAGTGAAGGTAAGTGCGCTGGACAAAGAGGGCTGGGTCTGTTGGATCATGATCTTGAAACGGGTAGTCTCTGCTCAGACTCTTTTCCTGGGCTGCGGTCCATTTGAGTGAGGCTGGCGTATGCAAAACAAAGGTTTGCTGAAGTGACATCGGCGATCTCAGTGTAAGTCCATGAAACGCGTCGCACGTGACCGCGTTCAGTTCATATTCTGGCCAAATATGAAAATTCAATTCGATTCTATTCTTGTTCGGTAATTTCCTTACTCATCGATCATCATGGTGGACACTGACAGTCTCGAAATTACTCCTGCGATGGTCCCGAGTACTATCATGCTGCGTTTTTTGCGTCCTCACTCACTATGTAGGTTGGGTGTTTGAATGTGGTCGTCTTTTTACCAAATTAGATTTCACGAGACATCGTAGCTACCCGGAATTTTCATTAAGTGTCTAACCCAATATAAATACGAATTCTGGTTTACATCGAGTACTAGTACAAGTTGGGACTGACGATGTTCTAACACCCCTTGCGAATCATTGCCTATTTTACAGCTGAAAAACAATAAGAAATGATAGTAGAAACAAAGGGCAGCAATATCTCTCTTAGATACATGTTAGTCGTTGCGCTTCTTGGTGTTGGACTAGTAGCCAGAAGCCTCTGTCGCGATAAGTGTTGAACATGAGTGATAGATTGATCCACCAAGCATATAATAACTTACCTCTCTGGTGGACATGGTTAGGTTCAGCATTATCACGCCTAGAAGACGAGTCAGGCGAGTCAGGCGAACCAGGGTCCCTAGTGTCAAAAACAACGATGTATAGGGAAAGCCGTGCTGAGCCAAAGCTGTATAAAATATCAGTATCACTTCCACTAACTAGAGAGGTGCGCGAGTGCTCACAAGTACAATCCGTCCCCATTTCTGGTGTGGGATATGCCACAGCAATAGTAGCAAAGCTTACGAGGATCCTGAAAACAAGCGAGGGCTGCATGGTTGGAAGTGAGAAGAGTGAGCGTTGTTTCGAAAGCTTACTGCTTTTATACTTTATTGCGCGAAGTTCTTTCGGACTACCTGAGGAGAACAGGATGAAAAGCAGTCATATACCCGTGTCAAAAATCAAACATCGGCTGTTGTATGTCCCAGATCCTGTCTGATGATATGATCAGGTCCGACTAATATGTACGCCTCCCTGGACCAACCCGTACAGATTCTGCTTCTTGGCTGCTTGCTTTGATAGTCTCTTTCCCTTATCTCCTCTTCTTCTAGTCCCACACAAAGTCCCTCACCTGACTCTTGAACCACACTGCCTCTTCGCGTGGAAGAGGTTGTGCCCCATGCACATGAAGCACCTTAAGCGAACGCACAGTGTCGTCTAGCTCACAGACGTCCTTCCATGAATTCTCCTGCCCCGCAGCCTCCCTCCGGCTGCTGACCATGGCCTTCAGTATCATCAAAGGCACCTCCATGACGAAATCATCCCTCGCTATTAGTTTTAACGTGGTGACACGGGGCCACAGGGAACAGCTACGACGAGCGAAAGGTGCACCGAGGAAATGCAAGATGATCTTGATGTTTGAGGAATGGCTGTTCGTGATGGTAACAGTATCACCATTCCATGGGCGTGTTTTAGGTATCCACCGCAAGCCACGTGTGGCAGCGCACCTATTCAACTCCAATGAATTTGAGCGGGGTAGCGATAGGCATCGAAGTCCATGGATAGAATCGCATTCCTGGAGAACGATGGTTTGACAATCACCATTGAATGTAGTAGTTAGAGTGTCGTTGATGCATGTGCGCAGGATTACTTTCTCTGCCCAAATTGTGATTGTTATAGTGCAGGCTTCCGGATAGACTACGTAAAACTGCAGGTCGTCGAGAATGAGGCAAGGTACTTGCCGCGGTATTGCCTGCAAGGTTCGACAAAGCGCTATGAATGCCGTTATATTGATCGGAGAGCCGCCGTAAATGGTCAGGACATCAATGTGTTGCATGTTATTCTTGAACCACTGGAGATTGATGTGACAAACTGTATTTTTGTCGATATGAAGGGTCCTAAGGGCGGGACACACCAATTTTGAACACGGTTCCAAGCGAGTGGCATAATGATAACATCCAACATCTGTTAATCGTAAACAGTCGAGCTGGGGCGCATATCCCGCCAGCGCGTCCAAGTCGCTGTATTCATTGAAGATCCCAGTGATTATGAGGCTCTTGAGTCGTTGAAGATGTAATGAAGTAAAGGGCGCGGGAAAAATTCTGCGCAGGAGTTGAACTTTGATTATAAGATGGACTGGGTAACTCCCCGTCTTCTGTAGCTGGGAGCTTAACCGCTGGTCGTTCATGGACGATGCCCAAAATATCCGAGCCCACAGCTCCGGCATAGAAAACACAATGTTTCGCCAGTGTCTGCACACCAAAGCCACGGTGTGAGGGAACGGCATGCCTCCTGCGAGCATACGGTGCTCGTTTTTAGGGGTCGCCGTCATATCATCTTCGACGATACTTTCAAGTACGATCTTGAAGATACTGTACATCGTCTCTGTGGGAAGCGATTGAAAGGAGCACTGTCATTTTGCCGTTGACTACTTGTAACAGTAGAATCCTAATGAGACGAGGACAGAAACCTTTGGAGTATGGACCTACCTCGACCAAGTGCTTGTGTTCCTCAGGGGTTTCAAATTTCAAATCGAGCGTATCTGAAGTGCGCGTCCAAATAAAGCCAAATACTCGCGGGTAGTGCGCATGCGATTCTTCATAAGAAAAATCGACCTAGACACTTACCTGTCACGCTTGGGTGATATGAGGCCGTGCGTGAGGCTGAGAGCTGCAATGAGTGGAAAATGTAAAAACCCAAGATCAAAGTGATATTGAAGACCAGCGAGGTATTACTGTAAATTGAAATTACAAACTCGTTGCTACATACCGTTCCAATGAATGACCCGGGTCTATCCTTGTATGATGAGTCTTGCAGAAACCAACGCAATGATACCATGACTATATCTTGACCTATCGTTGTGACGCAATCTTAATAAGGGCTCTGAGCGCGCCTCCTCCCCGCAATACTATGCGGTCCGTGTCGTCGCTGTCACTTTCGTCGGTTGAGCGAGACACGGAGGACTTATAGCCATGGGAGTTGGGGCTTCTCTTGAGAACGCCATGAGATCCAACGTCCTCACGCCTCGTGTCGCCACTGTCACTGCTGTTTATTGTGTCAGACCTTCTCTTGTGGGCATGGGAAGATTCAGCCTCCTCGCGCATCCCGCGCTCCTCACTCCCCGTACCATCATAACCTAGATATCGCCCCTGTTCTTCCCACCTTAACGTGACTCGAGATACGGTAGCATTGCAGAAAGTGTGCCTAACGCGAGGCGGGTGCCCTGCCACTTTTCGATGACAGTCGCGGTGATGGACGGTCAATAATGGGCAAGTCGCGTATATTTCTTTTGGAGAAGAATGGAATCCGCGCTTCCCTCCTATTGATACCGTGACAGCTTTTCCAAGAGTATTACAGGTCCAAGCCTCAGGCCTCAGGTGCAATAGGATGTCACGATGTGCTACACGGTGTGATGCTTGTCTGGTTGAGGATCATCGATAGCGGTAGGCTGCCAAGACATAAAAAATACCATGCAAAGGCGCCTGGCTTGCGGTGACAGCAAAATCAACTGGATAACTGTTATGCGGACGACGAGGAAGCAGTCTGGAACCAAATATCTGTATAGGAACAATTGCTTATAAAATATTTTGGATACCTCGTGAAGATACTGCTCCCAACGTGGGCTTATGGGCTTGCTTGTTAACCTGGTAGACTCGGAGACGTTCGAGTTGCTCTTCAAGTATACTAGAGAATCAGAATATGCAAACCTAAGCTAGCCTTTAAACTAGCAAAACTAGTAGTGCAATTTTCTAGCCACCATAGTTATTTGCAACTATTTGGTACACTGGTTTCTTTCTAACCATACATTTGAACGGCTACTGGACCGCGATGGACTCACCAAAACGCACAGGCTCGCCGTCGTCAACGTCAGAGGCAAAACGAATCAAGCTCACAGTTCCTCAGAAAAGTCAAGGCGCTTCCCCTGTAGAACCCGAGTCCGCTCCGGGAAAGCGCAGCGAACTTGACCCAATTCAAGGCGGGGATATTGGCAACCTTCCACCTGATACTGGCGAACCTACGTCAGCAGAGAATGGCTCGGGTGTGATTAGGGTGCTGAAGGAGGGAGAAGGAGATGAAGATGCTGGAGACGTGTCAATGGGGGAAGCAGCTGATGAAGAGGCGGAGTCCGGAGACGACAACGATGATGAAGACCCTGCACAACTAGAGGCTACTCGCTTGCGACTGGAGGACCAAGCAAGAAAGTACCTCGCCGCGCAGACACACGATGTTGTCATTCCGTCCTACTCTGCATGGTTCGACATGTCCAAGATTCACCCTGTCGAACGACGCGCGCTCCCAGAGTTTTTCAACTCAAGAAACCGTTCCAAAACGCCCTCCATATACAAAGATTACCGTGACTTTATGATTAATACGTATCGTCTACGGCCGACAGAGTACTTGACTGTCACCGCATGCCGGAGAAATCTGGCAGGCGACGTGTGCGCCATAATGCGCGTGCATGCATTCCTGGAGCAGTGGGGTTTGATCAACTATCAGGTGCGAAGTGCAGAAATGTTATCTGAGCACTTTCTAATAACTAAGTACTCTGAAGATCGACCCAGAAGCGCGACCAGCCGCGCTTGCACCACCTTTCACCGGCCATTTCCGCGTGATCCTCGACACGCCTCGGGGCATGCAGTCATTGCACCCCGGGACTCGCCCTACTATCACACATCCAATGAACGGTGCCCAGAAGCCAATACAGCAACACAGCGGCTCCGGTTTGGCGTCACTTGAGCTGCGAAATTCAATCTACCAGACGACATCCAAAGCATCACGCGCGGTAACTTCTACCGAGGCGAATGCGCTTGCGAACGGTGTGTCGTCGAAAGGGAACATGTCGTACCAGTGCGATACATGTGGGACGGACTGCACTGCATTGCGGTATCACTCGTTAAAAGTGAAAGATTTCGAGCTGTGTGGTCCATGCTATCTCGATGGGCGATTCCCGTCGACGATGTTTAGCGGGGACTTTGTGAAGCTCACATCTAGTCCGCCTGGTGTAAGCCATGGTGGGACTGACGACGACTGGACAGACCAGGAGGTGCTCCTGTTACTGGAAGGTATCGAGATGTTCGACGATGACTGGAGTGCAATTGAGGACCATGTGGGAACGCGTACATCTCAGCAGTGTATCAGGAAATTCCTGGCTCTACCAATTGAGGACCCATATGTAGCCTCGGAAGGCGACACGGGTCCACTAAGGTTTGGGCGGATCCCTTTCGAACAGGCAGACAACCCTGTGATGAGCGTGGTAGCCTTCCTCGCTGGTGTTGTTGGTTCAGGGGTTGCCGCTGAAGCCGCAAAGACAGCCATGCACGCTTTGACAGACGGTGCCCCAAGGGAAGGCACCGAGAATACATTTGACGAGAAAGGAGAGTCTAGTAACAAAAAGGGTGCAGAAGGTGATACTGCCATGGACGAGGATGCTCCCTATGCATCTACGGCGGTGAACTTTGAACCGGAGACCAACACTTCATCAAATACAGAAGGGGCAGAAAACGTATCCACCGACACCGCAAAACTGGCGAAGCTGCAGTCCAAATTACCCCAGTCGCACGCCGTGCGCGCCGCTCAGCTTGCTCTCAAGTCTTCTGCAAAAGCTGCTCAGAACCTAGCAGACGCTGAAGACGTACATATCCGCTCGACCCTTTCGTCTCTCATCAAGCTCACGCTTACAAAACTCGAGCTTAAAATGTCTCAATTCGAGGAGTTGGAGGAGGTTTTGGAAGAAGAAAGGAAAGGTCTTGAAAGCGCCCGGATGGCCCTTGTAAATGAGCGCGTTAACCTCAAGCGTATGCTTGATGGTGTGAGGAGTGAACTGGCGAAGAACGGTCGGATATCCATCCCTCCAACCAACTTGGGTACCACGGGTCAGGGGACGATTGCGACTGAGGTATCATCCAGCACTCAGCTGGAAGGGGATGCAGGGCCTCGGAATGACGGGGAGTTTGCTCAGCTAGCGTGATGGAATAGGACGATATGTTAATTATATTCGTTTGTGTGTTTGACACAGCCCTGTTGTCCTCTTACGTAGCTTTATCTTCTCTTAAGTGTATGGTATACTAATTATTTTCTGACGCCTGAGTCGAAGTTCATTATAATTATAACGGGTCGTGCCTCAGGCGTGGGGCTCGCGTAGATGTGGGCATTAGTGCGTAGTCAAACCTGAGACTCGAAACAGCCATTGGATTCTTTTAGTTCTCGGAGCCCGGGCACTTGCCGTCACAACTACTTTCATATCTTCGTGCAGTGACCGTGGATACTTGTTAGCAAGCAGCGAATATCCTAATCTCCTGCTATTCAGGGTGTATTCCGCCCGAACAAGAGACGGGACCCTTTTGTTCGTACAGTTCCACAAGTAAGTAGAAGCGGTAAGAGGATAAAACAAAGAAATCATCCCGATATGAAAGCAGCTGAAAAGGATTGCCTATATGTATCCTGTCGGCCATCGCAGGACGTATATTTCATCGAGAAAGTAAGGAGACTAAATAGCAATAAAGACGAGACAGTTAATAGTCAAACAACTTGAATAAATTATCTTGCTGGAATAACGTATGGTAGAAATACATCGTGGCGTCTGCCCTTCAATCAACCGAACATCCAATCATCGTCCAACCGCATGAAATGCCTCAGACACGAATTTTCCGCAAAGTCTGGGCCAATTTTCAGTATCGCCAAGGTTTAATCATGACGTATTATCGTACCGAAGCTATCGTTTGGATTGCACGAGCAGTGTCCTTCCCGCCATTGTCTCCCCTGGGGACAGTGAGCAAATTCAGCGTGTTTATAACCTTCGGACGGATCAGTTATGGCTACGAAACGATATGGCCGAAGCTTACCTATATCTTTGAAGAAATGCAGTTGATCCTTGCGTGTGAACAAGGCTGCGGCGATGCTATGAACAGGTGCATCTCCCCATCTCTGTGTACGGTCAGAATGACACGAACAGGAAAAATATTTAACTTGCCTCATAGTAAAACCCTCCTGTATTCTCGAGATAGTTGAAGAATTTGGTGTAAGCTTCGCCCCTCCAGAAGTCCATATCGGCAATTTCAAAGTTTGACCAAACTGAATGAGGGGCATAAGTGACTTTTCCCAACATGATATTGAACAGCTCTTACAGTGACACATGTTGTAAGAATCGCCTGCATCGTCGGATATAAAACCCATTGAGTTGTTTGGTGACACGTATTCAGGGTGGTCCAAAATGAATTCTGGGAGATAGGTTCATCTTCGGCCTACAGAGTACGATGCTTAGTGCTTACCTTTCACCACGGACCACAACGAGGTTATAGTTGATTCCCATTCTGTTCAGAACACGTTTTATGCTATAAAAGATATGGCAAGAATGTCACTCTACCTGGCATTGAAATGGTGAAGCCTGGGCCGTGGGTAAATTTAGCAGCTGGACCACTGTACTGGGGATCTCTCACCATAAATTTTGTTATGATCTTCCATGAATACAAAAGGGTCATATTCAAGGTCACAGTAAAATCTCACGTCGGGTCTACATAATGGGTCAGCACTTAATTCGTCTGGTATGCCGAACGACTCACTCTACTCTCCAGTACCACTTGTATGGCGTTAAGAGCTCATGGCGGAAAAAGAACTACATAGAGAGGTTAGCGTAAACGAGACATCCCTTCTAAACACACAGCACCCCTGAGTTAAACCGACACATATTACGGTAACTAATGGCCAAGGATGAGGACGCAGCCTGAATAAGTTGCACGGAGATACGCACGAAACACTGTCTGTAGTTTCAATGGTAAGATGGATGTTGACGACGATCTGATCAATGGACTTACCGCCATAAATGACGCCATCCTGTGTTAGCATATTGCGTCCGCTCTGAGCTCGTTCTTCATCTATCCAGGGTGGTTGCACCCAAGTTTCGTGAGGGATGAGCCCAAATGATACATCGCCGTTAGTCAATACTTTAACACGCCTGGAAATGCATGATAAACCAACTGCACTGATGATGACATGGTATACCTTTTGAACTCGTAAGAGAAGGGTTCGTCGTTCAAAAACACCCAGGGATAGTTGAATTTGCGATTGAATTTTGCCTCCAACTGTTCTACACTGGATATCACGCCATCGAGATCACTGTTACGCGCCAGCATCAACAACGTAGCATTGGCTCGGTGAGGAGTAGAAGGGTCGTGTGGAATGATATTGCCAAAGGAGTGTGATGGTTTACTCTCTGCGGAAGGAGCCAAGTCGAGTAGGGTCTCGTCTATCTGTTCGACATCCAAAACACCCGTAGAATCCTTGTATATCGACCGTTCTGTGGACAAAATTTTGGAAGACAAGTAGCCGCCTTGAGGACTGACAGTCATAAAATAACACACACACGACTATACGGGAGTCTGAGGTAGGGTGCGGTACGGGATATGCCTTTGACATACCACAGTGATTAATGCGATGATGATAGATCTACGATGTGACGCGAATGATATAGGAAGAACCGTGTTTCGGAAGAGAATCTGCATTTTAACACGACAGCAGCAGGCGAATGTCGACAACCTGGGGCTGAATGAGGTTCAGTGAGGGAACACTATCTAATTCTAATAGCCTGTTGTGAAGCTCGGGGAACCGAACTTAAAAGAACTTCTTGTGACGTAGAGTTCTAACTTCTGAAAAATATATTATTACGAGTATTGCCTTGTCGTATGTTAACGCACCTATATCGTGTCAATGAATAGCAGATGCATTCTGGAAACCGGAGAAGGACATTGTACATAGCTGGTCTGAATTGTTTACCTCAAGTCTTTGTCAAGTCACCTACACCAATATTCAATGATGGATTCATACTCAGCCTGAACTGTACCGCCGTAAGAGAACCTTATGCAAGTGACTAATAATACTTCCTTTTCAGGAGCGGGTCAAGGTTTTACTCAGGCTCTTACCACTAGGACCAGCTCATGATTTTCGTACTTCACTAGGTGAAAAAGACAGTTAGTGCTGCATTTTGCATGGCAACATGGATACTTGGCAAATCACCTTGGCTGCATGCTAGCCGTGTGCGCTTACGCCTAGATTTTCTTCCTCCAAAAGTTTGGTCTCAAGCACGCAACAGACTTAACGCATCTCTCACTATTTCAACGCAGTCACCATCATCCATCGAGGTCGAACACATGCCTCTTCCACGTCAAGCACTTGATGTATCAGTGTTTGAGGAGATGACTGCCGAGTATACCTTGGCTGTGTCCCAGAATTCGTCCGTATTCACGCCCCAGACGTCTTCTGGCACTCTTGTAAATCTAATACGTACAGCGGACTACGCAGCCGCGGAATCGTTGCGGAAAGAGATGGTAGATATGAAGATACCCATTCAACCGCATGCCATTTACGAACGGGCAGCGAGAGCTGTTCTTCAGACGAAGGGGCTCAAAAATCGAGGGGAAGCGTTTTCTGCATGGCTTTCGTTGGTGCCTACAGCAAAAGAACAATGGAGTTCATTCAAGGATATCCGCCAGCAGCTCTTTCGTGGATCGAATTATCTTAACATCGCACTCGTCATGCGGTTCGGTCTCATCATGGCGTCAAAAGGTTATATCACTGGCGATGCACAGTCACAGGTGTTGAACACCCTTGCGCGCTATGCGAGTCCTCCCACGACTGAGAGGTATATTTCACAACTGGAAGTGGTGGTAGATTCTTTCTCGAAATCCGGTCAAGTGAAAGTTACTCCAGAAAAATGGGCAAGCATCTACAGCCTCGTCATCAGAAACCAGGTCCTGGCTGGCCGAGAGGAGCATGCCCTTCAGCTTGCACGCGTCGCTGCAACACGCGAACGTCAAGTCACAGACTTTACGTTTAGATTCCTCCTAGAGCACTCCCCAGACGAAGCATTTACAGCCAGCGTTCACGAATTACGCCAGCAAATATCCAGCAATCCTTACAGCATCCCAGACGTTTGGTATAAGCGGACTTGTTCCCGCACCGATACCCTTGCGTTGACTTCCCACCTGCGTTATCTCCGACGTGCTATCATCTCGACGAACCCTCCCACTTCTTATTTCCTTTCCAACTTCATGAATGCCTATCATGCCACCGGGCGTACACGCGCCATGCTCGCTTTGCGGAAAAAAGCGTTCCAGCACTCGCACAAAGCCAAATCCCTATGGGTCATGGCAGAGATGCTTTATCACCGTTCCCGCAACGAGCCCCAACTCGTCCTTGTGGTCTTTGCATACCATTTCCACATGATTGGCGTCCCTCGCAGAACTATTTTGAAAACCATGAGGTTAATATCCAAACGCCGTGCTCCGCTTTCCCAAAGAACATCGCTTCCAAAGCACTTGCTAAACTGCCAATACGATATCTCAGAGAAGCTATGGCCGACACCCTATCACACTGCCCTCGTTTGGGAAGCTCTCGTTTGGTCAACGCCAGAAAGCGACCACGAGCGCATGTACAAATATCTCCTCTCCGTCGCAGATTCCAGCACATCGCAGAAGCCCATTTCTTCCCCAGACTTCAAATTCGCACCATCATTACTGCAGCTTCCAAAGCGTGCAGTTGACGCGGCTCATTTTTCGCCTTTTGTAAAGTTGCATGCGAAGCGCGGCCGGCCGGAGCGGGCTGCGAGCGTCTTGAGGGATATGATGAAGTTTGGGTTGAGCCCTGGGGTTGTGCAGTGGAGTATTGTGGCAAGGGGGTTTGCTGAGTATGGGGATCCGGCCGTGGCGGTTTCTATCATCAATCGGCTTGAAGAAGATAGTGGATCGCAGGATCGGGCAGGCGTGAGTGGTGATCATGCGGACCGAACACCGTCGATTCTGGACATTGGGCTTTATACGAACGTGCTTAGAGGGTTCGTCCTTGCAAGGTGTTTGGAACATGCTCAAGATATAGAGAGGAGGATTCGACGGAGATTTGAGTATATTGATGGCGAGTTGAGGGCCACAGATGATGCGCTGCGTCTGCTGCGGAACCTCGAGAGACAGATGGCGAGTTGATAGAGGCGGTAGGAGTATTTTCAGACTATTCTAGCGTAGATGTTCAATACGTTTCACAGGCTGTCGTCCTAGGCGCCATTCAAATCAAGCAGCGCTGTCACAACGTCGCACCATAGATACCTCCTATCCTACACGATTTACATCTACACGGCAATAATTGAGTGAAATAAGATAATGTGGGCCCTAATCTCGATACCAGCCATGAAATCAACCACCTGATGTGCCCGTTTGTGAACCACGCGGAACGATGCTCAGAAGCATCCTAGTTCATGCTACTCCCGCGGACTCTGCAGTCGATTCTCCCTCAAAGGCATGCATCAGACTACCCAGGACGACGGTAGTATAACGCCGCTGTGGTATACAAGCCTCCTGGTTTATCCGAGTCAACTTCATATTTAAACTATAGGATAATATGTATGCCCCATCCATCTCTTAATTGATCTTCATTGTCCATGTCTACGCCTTTCCCCAGTGATAAAACTGCAAAGCAGGCCCCCGAAAGTGTCTCACAACTAGGGCTCCGTGAAAAACTACGATGTTAAAAACACTCCGGGTTTTTAACGTGTTTTTAACATGTTAAAAACATGTCAAGAACGGAGGTCGATATTCAGGTGTCAAATACCTGTCAATAACCCTAAATATTGTATGTATCATGTATCTGATGCCTTCGGAACAAGTCATGTCATACTTTGACATTCGAGTGGCCGAAAATCCCGAAATATCAAAAAAGTAGAATAATTTGAGCCCCCCATTGAATGCAAGCACCCTACCACCCACGAGTTTCTTCACCACCATTGCCAACAATGATTCACAGCTCAAGCACCTACGAGCTATGCTCACTCACCTCCCAGACTGCATCCCTCTGGGTAACTCCAGGTATCACTTTGAGAACTTCGCACCTGATCCAGAGAAAGTTGAGCTATACGGCAGTGCAGAAGCAGCACTGAATAATGTGTTAGAAGTCACCTTTGCACCAAAGGGATGAGTCTGCACCTTGTCCATTCGAGTTTCAAGAGCGTGGGCCTGGCCTCATTGTTGTTGTGGATGTCCTTACTGCTACATTGGAGGAGTTTCCAGAGTCGGCATTGCTCCAAAAATGGGCCAAGGATCTATGGCGTGCTGCAGTGTATCACTACAAGTCTGCAAAGAAGAAAGTGGGTACATGCCTTGTTAGAAAGCTCCCACACAGCACCTCCGCAGAATGAATCTGATACTTCGACGTTGCCTTTGGGAGGGCCTGTACAATAGGCATTCACTTTGTCGTAGCTCAAACATGTTAGAATAGCTTGAAAAACTGGTTTCTAGACTGTGTAAAAAACTTGTCAAAAACTAGGTTTTAACTCATGTCAAAAACCCCTCGAGGATAGGCCTGAGTTAAAAACATGTCATAAACCTCGAGCTGAGTTTTTCACGGAGCCCTACTCACAACCCGTCAAAGGCGCTGGAAATCCCAGCCTTGTCGACCCCTTGGATGCGCTGGGTTTTCCTGAAGGTGGTTTTACCGCTTGGGGCACAGTGCTAGGCGCGCAAGTGCTTTTGTCCACCTATCGATCACTGTATATTCATCATCAACCATGGCCGTTAAGTTCCTTGACCCAATTCTGTGGCTTTGGGTAAATTCAACCCGGCATTTATGGGCCCAAACTGATACGTGCTAGATATAACAGCGCCTACGGTGTCTTCCAGGGCAAGCATATTTGTGGATTATCTTACATGGACGAACTGATCACCATGATATGCAGACTTTTACACTCAAACATACTTAACCAATTCCACACCATCTGCAATCGCGTGAGTAAGCTCTGGATCTACCTTGACCATTTCTTAGCTGCTGGTGTCTCTGACCTCTACCACTGTGTAGCTGGACAGGAAGTGTCGATGCGCTCTTGATATTATCAGTTGGTGTCATATCAGGAAGGATGGTCGACCGGGACGCATTGTATGTATGCAAGAAGTCCGCATAAAGACATCCCTGAGCATATATTTTCAGTTACTCTGTAATGAGAATTGGTTGTCTTCTCCAATGCCTCTTCCTCTTGGTATTGTCCCTAGTGCAACCATATGAGTATTATCAGGCGAGTCTTGTTTCTGTTGATGCCTAGCTCTGTTGACCGTATTGTTATGTATGCAGATATTCTTCTCCCAAGGTATCGGTCTCGGCCTCACAAATGTTCCGTACATTGGAAGCTTGGAGTCTTTGTTCAGCACTAGAAAATATTCAGTCTATATGAAAAATGATAACAAGTTCCCCTACCCATTTCCAAATCTTGGATAGTGATGTTTGCACGAGCTAGACAACTAGGCCATAGACTGTGAGTGAGCTCAAGTCTGCATTCACTGTAATCGACATTGATGAGAAGATGAGGATTGTCAGTGTGACCACAACATATGAAAATCCTCAAGAAGACATGGAGGTATGCCAGGGACTTGCCCCAGTTTGGGCAGGTCTTCATAATTCCATGAAGGGTGTGTTCAGCCTTAACCTTCTTCTTCTTGGGGAGGACCGGCCGCACAACTCCTGGCACTGAAGTCATGGCTGATGAGTCAATCCAGGTAATCTGAAGGATTGACTCTAATTCATTGATTAAATCATCAGCCTAAATATATTGGTAGCCGAGAGGAAATTGTGTAAGATGGACGATGGTTAGAGGTTCATTGACCTGGGCCACACCAAGCTACAACATTGTAGCATCATGAGAATGTGATACATTAGCAGTGTGGACTCAGACATACATAGTTGTAAACACCATGCAGCATCTTATCTTGCCTTTCACCCATGTCAAATTCAAGAATGGTGCAGCAATATCTGACAGCTGCATCAGGAAATCTGCCATTTCCAGGATGAGCTGAGAGATCTGAAGGAACTGATAAGCTGATGGACTACATATATGATATACTGTACATCTGAGGTCAGACAAAACAGATTGTACAGGCGAGACAGATGCTCAACCTGTCAGAATATCAACACCTGCAGAGTGATCATATGATCATTGAATCCAAAATACATCATTTCAGACAACACAGTACATCTATTCATCAGAAAAGCAGCAACTACAGCTCAACCAGAGTAATCAGATGCACACAAGGTCATGTTTCATGATCCTCCAGCACCACAGACCATGTGTCGCCCAAACTAACAATTCTTTCAGGAATATCAGGCAAAAACAGATGCAAAAAAGATCAGGCTTTTATATTGATGAAGAGACAGGTAGTCTGCATCTCAGAACCTCAATACAAACAGGATTTATCAAATACACAGAAAGGCTAAATATCCATTCATTAGTATTCAGTCTCAACAAGCAGGCATATGACCAGACAGTTAGAAATACAGGATTTCAACAAGTTAGATTTCAAAATATATAGGCTCCTGTGTGTAACATTGTACTACAAACTGAGAATACTTAATAGCTTCTGCGAAAGGGCGCAGAACCTGACCAAGCAGTGGGAAAACTTGGAAAAAGAAGTTGCCACTGGCATGAGTTGAACGCAAAACAAATACCACTATTGACTTTGATGACAAGCTAACCAATACACCACAGTCACATATTTTGAAACAGAACAATTTCCAGCTATATTGTAATTGCATGGCAAATCCATGAGTGAAACTCACTGTCTGTCGCAGTAGTACTAGTAGTACACAGAGAAAAAACATAGGTAGTACTAAGAGCAAATTATGTAGTAGTGGTACACATGAAAACAAACAACAATCAAAAACTTGCATGAATCATGAACAACGTATTGGTACTAGCGGCACCTCCCTCGCTTGTTAGCCCGTGCATGCTCAGCACCCTCGACCTCATTGATGGTGCACTTGAGAAAGCTTTCATGCCACTTACAATACCTCCTGGATGCCGTTTGCTTAGCAGCTGTCTCCAAGCCATCAACACATGTGTCCCAAACAACCACAGTGTCTGGAACAGTCCATTGCTTGAGGGGTTTGATTAAGGCCCTGAAAAAAATGTGTTAGCTTCTAAAGTTATTGACAAATAATACTTACATGAGGGGGTCATTGCGGCGCGAAGGATGCTCCACCTCCAGATGCCGTACCGTTGAGTCACGAATTCTTTCAAGGGTACACCTGAATAAATGCTGGACGTTTTGAAGTCCAGCAGCGTCTTGTTGCGGGAAGAGAACCTGTCAGCGTTACATGAAATAAGTCAGAATAAGTCAAAATGAGTGGCAACATATGCTATGTACTGCACTGGCATAATACTGCGCTCTACAGTTTGTAGTCTTCAACCGTCCGTTCGGGGGCTGGAGCCACGTGGTAATGGTTACCTTGAGGGGTTGTAGCCAAATGTGCGAGCAAGATGAGATTCTGTCACCACCTGCACTCCCATCAACCTGTTTGATGTGCCCAACTTTCTTTTTATCCAACTCCTGCTCGATCGCCCACTCATTGCATGGCAACTTGTGCGTTTGTGCCTCAGCGATGTGGAAGTGGGTGCCACCCTTGATGTGAGGGTTCTTGTTCGCAAAGAGTTGGATCTTTGCTTCTGCTGCCTCAGAAGATTGCGAGAAGGATATCTCGAAGGGCCACAGTGGATGGAACTCGGCATCTTGTGTCTCACGTTGAATGAGCATATCAGGAATGCCGAGGTTACATTTGTCTTCGTCATCTTCGCTATCTTCATCCTTCTTGACCATGATATTCATGTGGACGCAGAGTGCAGTATGTAGTACAGATGGAAGAGGTATGGACTGTATAATGGCTCCCATTGTAGTGCACAGAGGCGCTAGGATCGATTCGTGGACTGGGGTCGGCAGGTTGACAAAGAGTTGTTGGAGATGAGGGACGTATGATAGTCTGAGGAGAGCGTTGGATCGGCCCAGATGTGGGAAATAGAGAGAGAAAGGCTTACTTGCGAGCTAAATGGTCATCAAATTGAATTGCATCCAGAATAAAATGATAATCATTCTCTGACACGTCTGAAAACGCCTAGTATGGCAATCAGCCTGAGAAAGATGAGAGCTGCAAGATGAATTCTCATACCTCATGTTTGGGACCCTCACTGCCCTTCTGAATGGTGGCGATAATACACTGGCAGAGATCTGTATAGCTTAGGAAATCACACCTGTGATCATTCAAGCAGACCTTACTTACCATCTTTTGGGCCCAAAGCTTGTGGCTTCGGCGATTTCGACTTTAACAGGAGGCGAAGTTTTGGCTCTAGGCTTGAAACTGACTCCCCTGAAGTGCAAGACTTGCTGCTTCTTAACAAACTTGCTGAGGGTCTGGAGCCTTGCTTGAATGTGCCAGCATCTGGAGAGTGCTCTTTACCAGGAGCATGTTGGAGTTCTACAGGTACTAGTACAGTGGGCTGAGAGCGCCATGCAGGACTGCGCTCATAAAGATGCCCCTGCCCATTTGTTGTGTTTTGCTGTAAGAAAGTGAGAGATTTAGAAGGCATGGTTTTGCTTGCCTGTTACAACCACTTGATTATCTCCTTATAAACAAAGGTGGTGGTATCGGCTGGATCCCTAGCTTAAAAAAGCCGGTGTTTGCTGCCAAGGCCGTAGCTAGGGGTGGTAGGCGGAAGAAACATATGTTTGGAAGGTCGGTGGACTCGCAGGCCTGCCAGTGTAGTTAGACCCATCATAGAGCCCCAGAGGCAGTGACATGATGGCCTCTAAAAAGACACGCAGCAATAGTGTTGGGAATGCTAGTCACGGTGACCATGTCCTACGATCACCAATTTTATCAAGTTAGTAGTACTGAAATGCAAAAACCAGAGACACCTACTATTAATATTACTAGTAGGCACAGAGTGGAAACACTGCTTCCATTCAAAATTCAAACCTACTAGTACTAGAATAAAAAGAGTCTGAGTCAGCGACAGAGCTAGTAGTAGTAGCAGCAGTAGTACTCACCTTCGTTGTCGCGGAGTTAATGTGAATGTTATTAGTACTGATGAATGATCTGCAAAGTTATATGATACTGCTACTGGTAAGTACGCACTGGCAGCCTGAATGTAGCTAGATGACTTGATTTAATGTTGAACCAAATAATGGACATACTGCCAGTGTTGGTGAGAGGAGTCACGGAGACTATTGAGTACAGAAATACTGAAGCAATGATTCCTGATGAACGTACTGGAGTGTTGAAGGTGTGAAGTGCTAGACTCGGTACTGAATTAATGGCTGCAGTTGACTTACGGGCCATGGCTAATTTCATAACAGTTGGATACCACTATGCGAGACCTGCAAGTTGAAACATGTACATACATTTACCAGTATACTAGTACAATGTTCATACTACAATTTTTTAGAATGAGATCTCAAAAGCATGATAATCCAAAAATCTGTTAACATAGAAAGCTTGAAATGCAATCAAAGAATCTGTATGTGTCAAATTACGATCAAGAAACTGGGACCCATATATTGGGATCAAGTGCACTGGTCGCAAAATGGTATCTAAATGAACAACAGAAAGAAGGTGTTCTCTACAATTGTCAAGTTCTGGTTCAACCATCCACATACCTGTGTTAGGGCATGGTTGATCGCCAATGGTTGAAAACCAGCAAACGAGTGCACAAGGATATTCCACACCTCAAAAAGTGAAGGAGAATAACAGGATAACCTGTGCAACATATAACCCTTGGAATCCTGGTAGAGTCGGATCGTGTTCGATGAAAACACAATCATGGCGAGCTGGGCCACCACGCCAACTATGTGCAACACGGATAGTGTAATGGATCATGCCATTGACCCCACAGATGTCACTAGCAGCGTAAAACGACACTACAGCAGAATGAAAAATATCCACCTTCCCATTGAAGTCCGGGTATTGTGAAATATCCATGTCACATCCCGGAATAGCGTGACCAGGATTGCGCTGATCATGTAGAAATTGGCATATAAGGTTACGAAAGGAAGGTGTGCCAATCATTTCACCAATTGCCTGGGCACGTCAGGGGTAACTGGACACTGAAAGAAGTAGTTAGAATATCTTTGAAAAATCTGAAAAAGATTCACCTTGTCTCTTCGCTAGCTGCACAATCACCTCAGCCTCGTCACCACCCTCATCCGCAACAGCATCCTCCATGTCTTGATCATCATGATAAAGGAAGAAGTCTGGGTCTATGTCCAGCACTCAATTCAGATCAATCGTGAGGTCGAGAGAAAAAGAACCAACTTACCAGAATGATTTGTATCCGGATCAATTGGCTCAACACCAGGTGGGAGTAAAGGGTGGTCAAGCAGACCTATGGCAAACTTCCCTGCTCGGAACGAAGCAAGTTTATCAAGCCGTTGGTTTGTTACCAACATTTGACCGAGAGGTAGCCAGCCACTCGAGTGTCGCCAAGGTTCCTTTACTGCCTTACAGTGCTTCGACTCTGTGAGAGAAGAGCATAATCCATTAGGAGCGCCAAACTGCTGTGTCAGATAACTGTAATGGCATAAAGAATGTTGTCGGGGTAGAGATATTCTGTTGGGACGGACACCGACATCCATGAAGACAGTACATTCATTGTGAAAGCCTTCAAGAGCTGTTTGCAAAGAATCTAGATCGGCTTCGTCAAGACTTGAGCGATGGACTACATAGCAGAAGTCAAGGAAGTAGCGGATTGCTCGAAGCATTCTCTCAGGAACATGTCCCACGATGGCTGGTAAAAAGATCTGAAAGTAGTGAAGTAGTACCAGTAATTTGGATGTCAGTATATGTGAATTTTCATACCTTCATTAAAGCCTTTGAGTCATCGCCTGTCCATTGTTTGAATCTTCGTCCCTGAGGAAAATGTCGCAGGCCCGGAAATGAAGGCACTGCAGCTATGCTAGAACGAAGGAGGTTGTCAGTAAAGTGATTTTGACAAAATCTCGATGAAAATCTTTACCGGTGTAGAAACAACAATACTGCTAGGAACAAAAGAATGCTCCTAACTGTATCTAAAAAAGTTGTAAGGTCGCGCGTTGCCTAGTGTGCTATACTTGAAAGGACAAGTGCGTTCGACCCTAAAGGGGAAGCAGGTGCAGCGAAGATCTAGAGGTATGCGCAGAAGTGAAGCGCGAGAAAGCGCAAGTGCGCGCAAGGCGCAGGAACACGCGCGCGTATTAGCGCCAAGCGCGGGAAAGCGCGCGCGCGTATGCAGAAATGAGAGACTATGCTTAAGTGATGATATAAAACAAGATAAGAGATGTGAGATGTGATGTGCTAATGAATAGGTTTCTACTGTGACTTTCTAGGTATTAAGTAGGTAAGTAAAGATGGGTGAAAAGGTCAGTCCAGTAATAGTATGTACTGCTGGCGCTTATATAGCGCGCCTAAGCGCAGTCATGCGGAGCCAAAGCGCTACCGAGTAGGTATGTAAAATATATATATGTGAGAGTCCATGATAAAAATAAAGATGGAATAATATACAATGAGAGAAATAGAAATATACGCACTAGAGAACATGGTGGACAGTGGATGGATGCATCTGGATGGCTGGCGCTAAAGGGCGCGCAAGTGCGGGAAAGCGCGCGTGTGTATACATCGCGAAGCGCGGGAATGGTGCGCACATGGCGTGCGTTGCATGGGAAAGCTGCGCATCATATAGGAATTACTGTGGATAGTACACAGAGTGATGCTATGAGTTCGTGCTATGCACTTCTTAGTGAAAACTACCATATCGCACCATGAGAGGCATGATTCTCTACACCAGTGATCAATATCTGCCCATATTTGCTCTGCCTTTTTTTCTCCATAGGTGATAAGGAAGTACTCACCCACCCAAGCCACAATATGATCTTTAAATGTTCCTTTAATTATTTGGTGAAGAATGTCGGGAGTGAGCAGTTCATGTATGTCAGCGCATGGAAAATATGCTGTGAACGGCTACACAATTTCATATTCATCACTGCGATTGAGTTTGCTGCACTTACTAGAATGCCACTTATAATTCCCCAACCCTGCTTGAGCTGTGTATCTGAGTGACCGCACATTAGAATTTTTGTATGTTGGTGTGATCACCGACCAGATGGTGTGTTGTCCAAATGTGCTCGATCAGCAGTACACCTGAATAACTAGAGGTCAATCACCACTGAAAATTAAAGGTTAAAAGGTGCTTACCATGCACACCAATTTTGAGCGATGCAAGCAAGTAGACATTGTTCGGGGTAATCGGTGATGTATGGACCAAGGCTATACATGGCCTGTCGATAGTAACCATCAGCGCACTTGACAACCTCTGGTTTCTCCATTGCAGGACGAAAGGTCTCGAGGATGGCTTTCAACGACATGTGAAAAATGTGTTGTCGGAAATCATGAAATTCATCTGTTGTGTCATGATCACGCTCAGCTATCATAATTTACAAGTTTAGTAGGAAGTGTCTTGTACAGCCGAAATAAACATACTCTGTGGGATGCACAGAAAAGCTATGAGGCTCTCAGACTCCTTGTGAGTGCGACGGGCATTGTTATGAAGATTACCCGTAATATATAGAGTGGGTAGAAATCATTTTGGCCAGTTGCCACAGAGACCGTAGTTTTATCGCTACTGAGGATGATGGGGACTAGCATTGCACCATCACAGTCTGGATCTTTGGCTAGCGTGTTCTGTCAGATGGCAACGATCAGTACTACAGATAGACGACTATTGACGGACTCACAGATCGGTTCCAAGCCCAATTTCCAGTCATAAAGTCAGACCATACACACTGACCTTGCTCTCCAAACACTTGTCGAGCAGAATAGTCGATGTTATCAGTGAACTCCGGGTTTGCGAGTTGATTTCTTACTAACTTGCGGGGGTCGCGATACCACACCTCATACTCGGTGTGCTTCCATGGGGTAACAGATGGACCAGGTGGCAAGTTCTTGGATGCAGCATGTCGGAGTGTGAGAGATTGCCAAGGAACAGCACTCGAAGAGATGGTGTCAATGGTATGATGGACATGGCGGTCACTACTGAAAGGAGGACGGCCTTTGAACTCCTTGAAGGATCCTAAAACCTGCATGAGTTCATCAACTTGCTTCCCAGACATCTGATTCCACCGGAAAATGAAGTCTGCGAGCTCAAAGTGGCCACACGATGTAAATGGCTCCCAGGTGTCATTGGTAGGATGATCTGGGATGGGAGGATGATCTCCATTCAAGAAGTTTCCTGCAGCATCACAAGGGGAACCATCAAGAATAGGGTGTGGGATATAGTAGGATCCCTGTAATGTATCATCGGGAGCATCCTGCCCAGTATCCGACCCACCATGAGTAGAGTGATCTTCTGTGAAAGCATGCTGATGTGGACGAGCGGGCCATGGAGGCTGAATATGCACTGCATTGCAGTGTTGTCGATATCCTGACATGGACTTGAACCCACGACAGCACTCTGCACCTGCCATGGGATCAGTACAGTAATACTTGCAAGGGCGAAATTCGGGTTCTGCCACATTCTGTAATACTCATTAGTAGTACTTGCAGTAGAAGCACAGCAAATTGACGGTTACACTATTTGCATGACAAACAAGGACCCTCAACAGATTTAAGTTAGCGGGAAAAACCTGACGTGTACAGTGTCTATTGATAGGACTGGTATTCAACCGGGCACTGTCGCTCTACACCGATAAAACCAAGTGATGGTCAAGACTTGCGAGTCAAACAAAGACAAGCGACCTGGTATACCAGACTTACCTGGAAATCGACGAGTCGAGCTCGACAGTAGTGGCCCTACAAGGAAGTGCACCGCAACAAAGAAGCTGTCTTGAAAGGCCAAAGAAGCGAAAAAGTATCGTGCTATAGGTGCAGCTGCTCAGCTCGAGATGGAGATGGAGATGGAGGACACACAACAAGAAAAATAAGCACGATGGCCACCTGCACCCAACTTCAAGAAGGTTTCCGAAAAGTCGAGTGCTCGTTGTGTGGTTAGCTCACAAAGTCAACCCAAGACAAGTACATGACAACTTGCACAATGGCAAGCTCTGATAGACTTGATATTCTAGGTCGCCAGGCTGAGGCAAGCCCTGATACTGGAATGGACTCAGACTGCGCTGATCAAAATCATACCAACGATAATGAACACTCACCACCAGCAAAAGTCAGTAAGGCAGAGAAGTTGCGCAGAGATATCAATACCGCGAAGTTTGAATTAGGGCAAAAATGCAGTCTAAGCAAGCAACACGCCTACAGTGATAATGAAGGGTAAGTTGATCATGCCAATAAGTGCCCAGCTGACTCACCTTATTATTGATATCAACACTACCTGGACCATACTATCCCCATCATTAATGTCGATATTGATGGATATTATACAAACACCTTTTCCCTCAAAATGCAGACCTTCAAACAAAAAATTCAAACCTGATGTCAATACTACAGCTTCACAGCCCGCTTGAAGTGACCTCTGCAATGACTGGCGTGATCTAGTGGCTCTACATGTTCCAAACTCTTCGTGCCCTCCAAATAGTGCACCCTGCCAGTTCTCAATGTATCACTGGCGAGTTTTTTTACTCAAATTGTATTGAATCACTTACATTTTTTGGATTCGCAGCGTTGACCAAACCAACGCCTCAGAATGGCATCCAGTTTGGTGGCTTCGAAGAAGAACAAGAACTTGAACACAGTGAAGCACCACAGCTAGACCCACGCTTCAAGTCTTCAACACCTGTTAATGAGGATGCGCTTGATGACATGTTGACTCCACTTAGCATGATATCTGTCTCAAAGGTGTGTCTTTTTCATCTGCCCATATATCGTAGCTAATTCATACAAGAAACTCATTTCGAATGCTCCATGCATTGCGCCTGTTCTCTCCTCCTCTGATGAAGAAAACACCTCTGATAAGCATAGGTTGCCCCTGGTCGAGATCAATGATGTCAAGGTGAAACATACATTTAGAAAGCGCTCACCTGTACACGGGGTTGATACAAATATCAGTGAGGCACCAGCAGCCAACACCAGCAATGCAAAGTCCAAACGTGAGTCGAAGAACTCACAGAAGAAGTGAAATCTCGAATTGTTGGAGGAGGATGAGGTGTCTGCAGTTGAGGTGGACGAGTCTCAGGTGACATGTGAGCCCTGCCAATGGATGCCCATATACGAGGGAGATTCAGATGTACCAGCGATCAATTTTGCAAAGAGAAAGTCCAGCAGCACTCTCAAGGGCAACAAGCTATCAAAGGACGAGGTGGGTGACATGAGGCCAGGCAAGGACAAATTCAAGAAGGACAATGGACCTTAGATGGAACCCGACGATGGTTTAGATGAAGACTATGAAGACAATGAGGAACTCATGCATCTCCCTGACAAAGCCACCTCGTCCCACAAGGTTTGCATCTCTCTAACTTCTTGTACTATTTGCGTAAACCTTGTCAGAATACCTGACTGCAACCTCCACTGAAAACCTTCAGTGCTGAAGAGCGGTACAGGAATATCAATGACAGCAGACAGGAAAGCGACGATAGCCTTGACGACCGGAAACTCACATCTCGCCCCATGAAAGCGAAACTGTCTTTGACCAAGGTTTGTTTTCTTAGATAAAATTTCCTTGTACTAATCATGCAGGGTTTAATTAGGCCCTACCTCCACCTTTACAAGATAGATCCACTCGCAACAATAGAGGAGTTGTTGGTTCAAGCACCAGGAACAAGCCTACATTGAACCATTCTTCTCGCAATGTATGTGTTAAAGCTGATAAAATGCACATGACTAATTAGTTGAACCGTAGGCTCAATTATCCAGTGATGATGAGGACGACTTGTCCAAAGCACCACGAGGTAGATGCATCAAATTTACGAAAAGTGACATTCCTGCAGGGTCACACCGTAAATTTGACTCTCACATTGTTCCTATGTGGATCGACTTCATTTCCTGCCTGGACAATATATGGGATGTCTCAGACTATGCTGATGAAATGCAAGATATCTGGGACCGCTGTAGAAACAACAATACTGAGAGGAACAAAGAAATGCTCCTGACTGTATCTAAAAAGTTGTAGGTCGTGCGTTGCCTAGTCTGCGATACTTGAGATGGCAAGTGCATTCGACCCTAAAGGGGAAGCAGGTGCAGCGGAGATCTAGAGGTACGCACTTCAGCGAAGCACGAGAAAGCGCAGGTGCGCGCAAGGTACGAAGGCGCGGGAACGCGCGCGCGTATTAGCGCGAAGCGCGGGAAAGCGCGCGTGTGTAAGCGGAAATAAGAGAGACTAAACTTATGTGAAGATATAAGCAAGATAAAGGATGTGAGATGTGTTGTGCTAATGAATAGATTTCTACTGCGACTTTCTAAGTAGTAAGTACTAGGTAAAGTTGGGTGAAAAGTAAGGTAAATAATAGTATGTACTGCTGGCGCTTATATAGCGCGCCTAAGCGCGCTCATGCAGAGCCGAAGCGCTACCGAGTAGGTATGTAAAAATATATATGAGTGAGAAACTATGATAAAAATAAAGGTGGAACTATGCTAATAAAGGAAATGGAAATATACGCACTAGGGAGCTTGGTGGACAGTGGATGGATGCATCTGGATGGCTGGCGCTATAGGGCGCGCAAGCACGGGAACGCGCGCGCGCGTATACATCGTGAAGCGCGGGAATGGTGCGCGCATGGCGCGCGTTGCGCGGGAAAGCTGTGCGTCATATAGGAATCACTGTGGATGGTACACAGAGTGATGCTGCGAGTTGGTGCTGTATACTCCCTAGTGTAAAGCGCCATATCACACTATGAGATGCACGAGTCTCTACACCGCGTCTTTCCAAACATCACGCACATTGTCTTGAAGAAGAATGATCCAGTCTACAAACTGGTACATGGTGTTCGCTACTGGCTGCTCATTTCTTATTATTGATTCACATAGTTAATGCAACACGCGTACGATTACCGCAGTGACTTCGGAGAACGAGCTGAACTTGTAGTTTACAAGTTCTTAGAAAGGAACAAATGGGACCCTGATGCAATCCCGTGTAGCTGTTGCGTTTCTCGTCCCCAAACAAACCAAGCTTGTCGACGCAGCTGGTCGTATTACATGGGTCAATCCCAATATATATCCTTACATGTGGAAGGTAGTTGAAGCTAGTGCACGGGGCACTGAAGTATGTGCTGAAATATCACCTTTTTATGTTCACTCACCTGTGAAACAGGATTGTCAAGGTGCCTTTGAAGATGCATGTATCCTGGACATTTTTGCACTCTACCTGGAGAATGTGCACAATCTTCCAAAGGAGTTCCGCCACCAAAGTATGCCAAAGGGAGCTTTGGCCATTGCCACAGCTGCGGTATGCTTCTTCTCAATTCACCAGACGATGCTAACATATAACCAGGTTGAACGTGTGTGGAAGATGTGGTCAATGGGAACTTATGTGAAACCGAAAAGAGCTGCACACTCACAATTTGCCGAGGGCCTCTGGAATGACCACACTGCATTGGTGATGGAATCTCTCAATAAAGCTAGTTGCAGGAAATGGAAGTGTTGAGAGTGCGCCTGACCACCAGGGCATCCAGGATGTCACGACGTCCTGACATATATGAATGCAAGACAGTAACAGTACCTTACTCATTTTCTCTTCCCATTTTCAACCGTATTCTAACTCTATTCTAACTCTATATAAGACTATGAACACATGCCAATGCACCTCAGTCCCTTTAACCGTGACTGAGGTGTGTATCATATTTTCCCTCTTTCTTATTCCATTATACTCACTATATATACATTAGCCTCGTACTCTAGGTTCGTAGTACTACATTGAATGCGAGTCCCTTTAACCGTGACTGAGCCTCGTACTCTAGTTCTCATCTCTCAACAGGAAGAAGATCTTCAAGGGTGCGAGGGCCTTCATCGATGCTCATCAAAAGTGGCCGTCTTGTTGTGCACAGGCACAAAGGAACAGCATGGGGACTAATGGGTGCACTGCCTGCATCAAAGACGATTCTGGAATGGACTCTGGACCTGATATTTCATTGATGGTTTGATTTTGTTCATTTTCTTTGCTATGCTCTTGTTGTTGCCTCTCATTGATTGAGTGCTCCGGTTGTCTTGTTTTGTAATTCATTGCTTTATTGAACCTATTGTTACTTTACTGCATTCCAGACAATATGAACGAACTTTATTTGCATTTTTCTGATAAATATGATGTGATGCCTATAGGATTAATTGGAGTACTTGATGGTCAGACTGTGATGATGATCTGAAGTGCTGGGGTAATGGGCACCTGATATGCTACTACAAAGGTTCTAATGATTATATATTTATTCTGACAATCTGTTAAGATGATGTATTAAGATGACCTGATATACCTAATGCTTGGCTATGTGGATGTCTGAAATTAATGCTTTCTAATGTGATGATGACAAGATAGATTGATCTGTATGATGTACTGGGAAAACCTGTGGCTGATTATTGGATTTGAATGACAGAATGGCATTCAGAAAGTCTCTTTTACTGATCATCCTGTTATTTTGACAGAGGTCTGATATCAGATGGACCTGCCTGATTTCAGACCATGTCTGATGTATTGACTAACTGTTCTGTCTGATTAACCTGCTGTCAGCAACTCCAGATAAATCAGAGAATTTACACATTCCCTGATGTGGTAGGACATCAGTAGGAACACATGATACAGTACAGATGGAACCTACCACTAAAACATACACAGGTACCTCATTGCTGGGTAGTAACTTGTATGCTGTATTATGGATCATCGGGGTTTGCAGATATGTGAAGAGAGACAATTGCTGCTTTAGCTGGGAGCAGGTAGTAAGTATAAATTATGCATAAAAATAAAATCCACCTACAGCATCAAGAGTGAGTGGGGGACACTGCACCATCACATAGATGAGAAATGTGGTGTAAACAAATCAGTGAATACTTATGTATAGAGGTAAAACAATGGGCTGAGGGTCCAGCACCAAGTACCCTGCAAGTTCAACAGTAGTTACAGGGATACCCTGGAGGAACTGGTGAGTAAAGTTGTTGAGTGTTGTGAGAGAAGAAAACTTGCAGAGAACAGGAGGAACCCAGGAAGCATAAGGTTGAACAAACACATATTGGCATTGATTGTATTGTTCACATGATTATTGAAGGTAGACATTGCATTTGTGATGAATTTTTAAAAAAAATATCAATACAATGCTGATTGAGAAATACAATTTGCACATGGCCCCAGTGGATGTTCGACATGATCATCTGAGAATGCCAAATTGCAATCCAAAAATTCCTGTAAAATTGAGTATAAACTAGACTATTAGAGCAATAACAAACACATAATTGGATTGGGCTGACATTAATATGCTTAGCACGTCACTTGATCAGCGCAGTGTCTTGGAAGTAGCAGAGACTATTAGGTGTTACAAGAGCATATTACATGTACATACCATGTTAAGCTACATTACTGGCATGAGGCTCAGATGAACGACTGGTCGTCGCAGTGCCATAGAGAAGTCTGTACCCTTATTACATGTGCCATTCAGGCGGTACAATAATACATTGTTGGCTGAACCATATAATTGCCTGTCTTCCATGCCAATGCAATGTGACTCTAAAATGTTAGTTCTCATAATCTAATTCTAAGTCACTATTGTACATTTCATGAAACTCAGATAACAATTCACTACTAGAGCTGAACTGTTGCTCAGGCACCTCGACCTTGACTTCTGACTTGGAATCATCCTGCTCTTTGTCATCATCATGGCTTTCAACTTCTTTGCTATCTTCAAAATCTTGAATATTATGCTTGAAGCTTGTGAGATACTCATCCTAAGACTGAGCTTGTGAGGTACAATGGTGCAAGTAAGTATGCCCAACTCCAAAACCAAAATGGAACCACATCAACATATCGTGGTCTACAAACCTAAAATTATGAACTGAATGCAAGTCATGCATGTAGTGGGAGCATTACTCAATGATTAATGTAGTATATGTGGCAATCATTCTTATCCCCTGCACATGCTGAGAGACCTAATCCATCAGGCCATCTCCTCTTGCGAGCAAAAGCAGGAATGATATGACAGCCCCTAAGGACATCGGTTGGATCCAGAAAGTCAAATGAGTGGTCGTGAGTCACAGACAGAAATCTAACATGATCCATAGTTGAGGAGTCCCAGGTGGAGACTTCATCTATGGGTTCATACCACCAAACACATAAAAACTCCATTTGAATCGGTGTATAGTCAACCATACTAACTCCGATAAAAATTACATTAGTATGATAAATACCCAGTACTTTGCCATAAATAAATCTGTGATCTTGAGGTCCCATATCACTTTTGGCATGGAGAACCATAATGTTGCAGTGGGAAGTCTTTGGGTTGATGATGTATTGGGCTCGACGAACATTGTATGTAGTATAATTAAACCTAGCCATGTTGTGACTATATATTCAGTCATCCTTGAGGATGATCGAATTAGTATCTTGATCTGACTCTGCAATATTTCTTGATATCATGGTGCGATGCAACAGATGAAGTTTCAGTTTCAACATGAAATTCTGCAGGAGGTGTAAGGGTGTTTACGTGGTTATAATATAATGAGACTGACCTTGACAGCTGGATCACCTTCATGAAGGTGCAAGTAGGATCCTATATGAATAGGGTGCTTTTGTGTCAGGCCTATGTGGACGTCCAGGCATCTCACTAACTCTGTGATTTCAATGTGGGGGTGATGAATGACCCTGTCACCCACGTGATGAATGCAAGTCTGCCGATGTTCGATCTGAGTCAACTGTCTTACAAATAATTTGTGATCGGTGCAGTGATAACTCGCCTTAGGTGACCAGTATTCAAGTTCACCCTGGAGTCAATAGTTAGCTATGGTCAGGCAAATGACAATGAATGGACTGGTTCACTGCTGTACAAGTTGGACATGCCATATCACTGAATTGTGGACATGTAATCTCCTAAAGCATGGAATTTGTATGTTTGGAAGTTAAAAACTTTTGTGCACTGCCCATAATTCAAAGTGTTTTGCTTGCCCTTGTGCACATCATTTTGTTTCAATGTTTGCCTTGCATGGTGTCACATACGAGCCTTGACTTCCTGATGAAGTTCCCAGGTGGTGTAAGTGTCACAAACCTTGGCTTTCAATTCCCTGAACTGTTGACCAACTGCAGAAGTTACTAGGTCCATAATGTCAAGGGTCATATCGGAATGCATTTGAAGTTTAGCAAGCCCATGCCAATGTGTCATTGTAAATAGCAGTTTGAGAATGATAGTGTTGTGTGATTCTGAAAGGAGGCTGTCAAAGACAGGGATAGAACACTGCACTTCACCAACAACAGTAAGTTCATACCTGGAGCAAGTTCTCAAAATTGCGAGCTGCCATCCTCTTCATCTCTGAAGAGTTAGCAGAAAATTTTCAAATGATCACTTGGCCAAACATTGGAGTTTGCCTGTATCTGATAGTAGGATTTAGACAAATGGAACGCCAGTACGATGACACATGCGCACCTGTGGTCTAATTCATGGATAAGAGATTTATCATGCACCAAAATGATATGCAACAAGTGAGTAAAAAGGGACTTCCAGATGCCACTCTCGAACTTGTGTAAGAGATCGACCACAAGTTCCCAGAAAATATTGAATCCCAAAGGGCCAAGGCAATCTGAGAATGTGTTCTGAAGAATGATTAGCCATGGTCTATTACAAAATGATTCAGACCTTACCAAAGTGGGCACCCATAAATGTGGTTTAAGGATACGCTCAACTGGTGCACTGCCAACCGCTAAGTTTTTCTCATAAATCAATTCATGTGCAGTGCCCACAATATTTCGTTTTCTCTCATCATTGTGAGCCAAAGTATCACACTGTTGATGATCTTGAGGTCTACCCATATTCTGAATCTGATGTTTTGGTATTAAACATTGAGGACATGGACATCCTCCTAGGTTTCAAACTGTAGCTATAAGCACCCTGGATAAAAGACGTCAATAATATTCAATATTGTAGAAGAGTTTACTTACTTTTCTGGATAGTCCACAGAGTAGGTGAATATCCTCGGGTAAAATCTACACTTGATGCCATCACAACAACAAACTACAATACTGTGCTCATATGCCTCAAGGAACTTGTCATCCAGTAAAATCTTCCACTGCTTGTGAAAAAATTCTCTATGGCAATGAGTTGCACAATCACTGGACAACTCCTTTCCTCCTGTGAAGTCTTTGAATGAGTCTCATCTGGGTCTCCGCTGTGCCAAACTCATGTCCTCCATTTCATTATCCCCCCCTCCTCCTCCCCCTCCTCCATCTTCTTCAAAGCTGTGATCGTGAAGGACATCCACAGAATCCTGTGATGAGTTATGCAGAGACACAGGCTCTTCAAGCTGTGAAGCTTCACCACTGAGAGTCTCATTGGTGTGACCAGCCAACAAGGCATTTAGAGCTCCAATGGCCACAGGTTGCTCATCAGGAGTGAGCGAGACATGTGACCTTTTCTTTTGAGTGACAAAATCCTTGAAAGACAACAATGCTGATGAAAGGTGTTTCTTAGTTTGAGCACATGAACACTGGTGTTGGCTATAGTGATTTTGAGTCGTAAATGCTTGCTTGCACACACAAGTGAAATCGGACACTCAATGACAGGTTATATTGTCATGTTAGACGCTGGCCTGGTCGTGTGGAGTGCACACAAGCAGCCCATAATAGCCTTGTCTATGGCAGAAGCAGAGTACATCGTGTTGACCGCAGTTGGCCGCAAAATGATGTACTTACAGCTACTCCTTGAGGAACTCTACCAATGCCCACCTATCCCTACGCCTTTGTACTGTGACAATCAAGCCGCTGTAGCACTCAAGCTTGCGCTAGGCTCATATTCAGCCATTTCATGCATCATGTCAAATGTCTGTCACACTATAATCACTTCCTGATGCAACCCGACACATATCCGCAAACCCGATGCTTTGACCAGCAGACCCGACATTTTCCCCACACACTTGTCCTATCCATGTCTTGTCTTGTCAGCTAGCCCCACTAGGTGTGTAGTTGATTATTTCACACATTACTCATATCGTAGCCAGCACTATTACATGTTTTCCCATAGTCCGCAGCGCCTCATGTTTAATTACATGTACATCGGACCCGAAATTCTTCAGCCGCTACTTTCGCCTATAGGGTTCCGGATTTCTACGTACTTATATATATATTGGTTTCCACATAGCACATTCATCATCCAAGTAGTAGGGAGCCGTTTCCCGACACTTTGTGGTCACACCCGATAGGTCGTAGTTCTTAGTTGACATTGCGAATATTACCACTCTTTCTATCAGAAACACCCACCGTTACACTATATCCGATGTTCTTTTCCTAAACCCAATGCAAACCCGCACCTGAAACCTGCTAACCTGCTAAACCCAAAAACATCGGCCAACGCTTCAGCATCGGACTCATAATTACCTTCAGATTCCATTTCTCGTGCTCGGACTTTTGACAGTTTATCAATTGACTAAATATAGACTTATTCCAACAGTGAACCCCTCATGTCGAACACACTTGTCTAGCAAGTATAGCAGACTAGGCTGTGTTACAAGTAACATCGGCTACATGGCCCCCCTATCATTTTTCCCCTTCGTCCTCGCCCTCGTATGCCTCCGGCTCGTACTTCTCTACCGACTATCCGTTGACCGGATCCTTGGGACCGTTCCCGTCCCTCATCCCCCTCCTATCGCACCAACGTGCGCACGTGCCTTCGGGCTATGACTCGTTCTGACTCGTGCCACCAATGTGGCTTTCCTTATCTTGTCTTATCTTTCCTTTGACTCGTGCATGCTGCACATTGTATCATTTACCGTTGGCTTGTTCCAACATTTCTCGGTCTCATTCCGCATTCGACCTTACATCACTAATCAGGCTCTGCTACCAGCGTACCTATACCCTTTCCGTTTCCCCTTTGCCCTTACCTACAGTACGGTAGCCTTGCCCTTAACCCTTTCCACTTAGTATAAGTAGTCGGTCACTCTGTACTAGATTCCCTAACTTGAATCTACTCAATCTTCCCTCAAACATACTTCCCTCTGAAGCCCCCTCAGCTTCAGTCTCTAGTATCTTTTCTTAGGTGCTCATCGTGCCTAAGTCCACCTCGATCGACTACCTCATCGTTCGGACAAGACTGTCCTTACTTTGAGAACGTCAGTGACTTTGAAGACATCCGTCTTAGAAGTCACGTGACACGCGCGTCTCTGATATCTGCCGACTCGACGTCGCCAGTCTCAGTCGCTACACCGGACCCTTCTGGTTACGTCACGAACGTTAGCGGACGACGCCCCTCTTAGGGCTCCGCATAACAGATCTATTTGAGTGCGTAACAGGCTGTGCAAGACCACTACAACATTTTTATATTGCTGACACTTAATTCATATAGTACCAAGCATTGTTGTATCTTTACACTGCTATAGCCCTCGCCACGAACAATAAGTTCCACTCCTGTATGAAACACATCAATCTACAATACCATTTTGTCAGGTTCCACATTCAGCATGGCACCTTCACCCTCGTATATTGCCCTACAGATGATAATGTTGCCGATGCCCTGACTGAACCACTACCATGTCCATGCCTGGAGAGGCTGTGAGGTGTGATGAAGCTGGAATGTGCTCAAGGAGGAGCGTAGAGAGGCACATCAGACAAGTGCTATCAGATACGAATGCATCGTTTGTCAGACATTTGCTCGTCATTGGCCGAACACCATGTCTAAAGGTCTCAGATAAATTTTCATTCATTCCTGCTTTACCCACATATAAAATGGTCCTTCATAGAATTAGGCATCTCAGTCTTCCTCCCAGATACTGAGATGTAAGTGCAAATACCTTCATATAACATACCAGCTACTAACAAAGACTTAGTATATATTTGTTCTAGGTACTTATAACACCTGGAGTCTTCCTCCCGGATACTGAGATTATATATTTGTTCTAGTTGTCCTTCTCCCCACATGTCTGCATCTCCGAAGTCAACAACAACAGTACTTACCTAGGATTGCCAGCATACATGTATGCATACAGATGGAGAATCAAGCATACCTAGTAGGAATGTCTTGGTAAGGGCAGCCTAGGATGTATTGTAACCATTTAAGGTTTCTATGGGATGTGACGGACTGTTGGCCTATGTCTTGATCATCTCGAACACTCACAAATCACGAAATTTGATCTTAGGTTCTGGGTCCAGAGTTAGCATAAATTTGGAATGTCATGACAGGTACCACAGCAGTCACAGCAGTGGCACAGCATTTTCCTTGTGCCCCAGAACATCACCTACTTGCAATATCAATCATTTCATACCTAGGGCTGGCCACTATAGACTGTATTATGGGGATGTACAGTAACATAATATGGGTGCTGTACCCGTACCATCGGGGCTTTAGAGCTCTCATTGACGGTTATGGTGTACGGTCATTTGAGTACCATATGACACCATAAGTTGACAGCCATATGTACTGTCATACAGGACATATAGTCACTCAACCTACAAACTACAATGCATGCTTGGTCTGCTTCATTGTTAGCTGTTTTGCCATCAAACATCAGCTAACATCACATCCAGGTGGATTTGGAACAGGGGTAACTCTGATCTCAATCCTCACCAACAAACTTTTGTACTGAAGTATTGGTGACAGTCAACTTTCTCATATTGATTCTCTTGGATTATGTCACTTCCTCCCTGACCTCCTTCCTGAATTATCCACAGAGCCTCACTTCCTCATGTCAGGCAAAAGGGACAGTGCATGTTCACTAGTGAACATGATGGTGGAATGGTCTGCAGAAGGCAGAGCTCCAGGGATCTTTGCTCTTCAAGGTACACTACATTCATATCATTTCCTTCATTCTCCGGTTCATGGCATCCCATCACAGATATCTACAAAATGGCAACATCGTCGGAGTTTGTACCTTCATTTCACAGTTTATTGCACAAGTGATTTCATCTTGACTGAATCTGCTTTCACCTGCTGTCTTGGCATGTCGACATGCAAATGGGGAGAAGAATAAAGTGATACACAAGAGCTGGGTAAGGCTTTGCGGAACATACCAAGCTAAAGGTGGTGTCTTAGTGACCAAGGAGGCTCGGGCGGTAAGTGAAATAACTATTGCTTGTTTGATTTTCTAAAAACAAACTGTATTGTTTAGACACTGCAGGAGATAGCAACATTGTGCTTTGCAATTCCTCCACCATGCACTTAGCCTGATAATCATTTGGGACCTATGATCTCCTCTATACTACTGGGCAATGGGGTGCTGGGAGGAAGGGCCATTGTTGTACTACATAGTTAGTATTGTAATTCAATGTTTTCTACATCTCCCATACGACCATATAAGCTGGTTGTATGACCATACAGTGACCCGTACCATACTGTTGAACATTTTGAATGCATTGTACAACTTACGGTATGGTATGGGTAGTACCCATAAACCTACCATAAATTGTACAGCCATAACCATATATGGTTACAGTGACCAGCCCTATTCGTACCTTGGAATGTCAGAAATTCCTAATTTAGATTTCAATGCCTTGTAAGGCATTTCAAGGTTCAAAGGCAAAATGGTCTTTGAAATGGGTTTGAATAATAGAGTCGTACTTAAAATTGCCATAGAAATGTAGTTAAAATGGCATTGCAACAGATTGCAACGGGCCTTGCAATGGTACAGCACGTTGCAACTTGGTTGCCATATTATTGCAATATATTGAAAAATAGCAAGATTCCTTGCAAATTTGTTTCAAGAATACCTCATTGCAACCATTTTTGGAAATTTGCGACAGATGCGTCACGCTGTCTTGTGACGATGAATTCCGTGGTGCCCATTACATAATGCCTTGCGCTTGAAGTCAACGTTGGAGCAGCCGCTGTTGGAGCTTGCCTGAAGGCTTGTGGCTAAGGGTATAGGGCTTTCCTTTCTTGATCTACTTGTTGCCCATTTCCGAGGTCGCTCAGACTGATCAAACGACGGTCTTTGTTGAGAACAGTGCCGCCCTAACCCGAATTATATATAGCTGCCCATCCTCTCATCTTAACTTTGGCCTACTACGACTCTGAGCAATCAAATCCGACTCACATTCTTTGACCTTCCGTCATTCATAAGACCACTAATTGAATGAACACGGGGAACTGCGGTATGGGGTATGGTCGCATTATCGGTGCTGCACGCAGTATTTACTTTACTGAACGTATTGCGCAGGGCAGACACCTCACCAGCCGATTTAACACCCTTTATCACTCGAACAACTCAAGACCACAGTAGCGGAGGTGGATTCGGCGATGTCTGGAAATGCAATTGCAATGCAGATGGTATTTCAGCCGTCGTCAGTTCATGTATTAGACTCATTTACCATGCACTGGCTTATGCCGACCAATCTATCAACATATAAGGTTGCGGTCAAGGCCTTCAGATATCCAGAGAACTATTATGATTCAGAGAGAATATACAGGGTAAGAAATACCAGGTCTGCACATACGTCAGCACATGCTACTTATACTGTTTGGATTATCTAGAAAATCAGCAGAGAAATCGGCATTTTAACACTTCTACGCCATGACAACATCGTACCGTTGTTGGGCATAGCGACAGGATTTGGACGGAGGCCAGACTTGCCCAGCTTGGTAACTCCGTGGATTCCAAACGGCACCTTGAATGTCTACCTGGTATCTAGACACAACGATTTAACAGTGCTGGACCGTTCACGTATGGTAAGTAGAATCACACCGCATCCTTTTACTTATCAGACTGACTCGAAGTTGGAAGCTGGAGGATGTCAGCGCTGGACTGCGTTACTGTCAGTTTCTTATATTTTTTCTCAAGATGTTATGGTAACCTACCATGGGTGCAGTGCACTCGGTGCCTGTCGTTCATGGGGATATAACAGGGGTGAGCCCAGAGCTGCTGTGATATTTTTGAAAAATAATAAAACTGTAGGCAAATATACTAATTGACGAGGGAGGCCGTGCGAAGCTAATTGATTTTGGTCTTTCTGCCGTTGTCCTGCCCCTTTTCGGCCAGTCACACTTGGCTGCAACATCGATACATGCAGGGGCAATCCACTATGCAGCACCAGAACTTCTATTAGATGATGTCGATGTCAATGACCCAGCTTCGGAAAGAACTAACATTTTCCCACCTTTGGAAAAAACTGACATCTACTCTTTTGGTTGTGTAATGCTTCAAGTGAGTTAGTTGTTTGGTCACAAAATGTTCATCTGAAGACTTATCGAACAAGATTCTCTCGGGTCGGTACCCTTGGTTTGAGATCAAGTCCCAAAACCCAGAATTCCGTATTTATGGTTTGAAACGCCAAGGTCGTGGTCCGCAGCGCCCCAACGGCCACCCTGCAATAATGGACTCAGATTGGGACATGATTCAAAAATGTCTGCAATTAAAATTTGAACTTCGGCCTTCAGCAGATGAAGTATCCGACTTCATCACGCGTAGGTCTTGCTCATCAGGTCAGCCTGCATAGTTCGTGGTGCTTTTTGACCATTCATTCATTTGAACTTCAAGATTCTTCGAGCCTACCTAACGATTTTCCCGATGATGCGCAGGGTGGTTTCCGCGGAGTTTTCCCGCGCAATGATTCCAGTGGTATAACAAAACACCTGCTCAATAGTCCACGACCCCACCCTGATCATGAGCCGACGAATGGAATTATAGAGCCTGGAGCTCAGATATCTTTGTAGGTCCAAATCTGCACAGATTCACAAGTTTTAATATTCATTTTTCCAGTTCTTCTTCACCAGCCAACACTGATTCTTGGCCATTATTTCCCAGTATCAGTACTGATCCCACAACGGCGTTCGACAGTGATTTTCGTAAGTTACCATCATGTCAAATAAGCGTCGAGGCGGATATGTTTCATCGCCATGAGCAGTTCGATATACTAGCAACCCAGGACACGAACAGAAACAATCAGTAACATCGCCACCTCCAAACGCATGGTCGAGCAACCACAAAGTACGTGTCTCTTGAGAGACACAATACCACGAAGAGAGGTTACTGATTGGATATATCAGACGCGCCTGCGGGAAAGCAATGTCGTCATATTTGGCGAAACAGGCTCAGGGAAAAGTTCTATCATCAACACAATCGCGCAAGAGCAGCTCGCGAAGACATCTAACGACGCACATGGATGTACTTCTACCTCTCAACGCTACCCAGTAGAGATTTCAGGCCAGCGATTCGTCCTGATTGATACTGCAGGTCTCTGCATGGGGACTGCAGACTCAGTGTCAGCGGCGAAAGCGGAAAAAAAGTTGAAGAGTTTGTTGCGTGAGTTCATGAACTCCAAGTTGGATGGCATCAGCCTTCTGGTGTACTGCATGGACAACACGATTGCCCCTAGCGCCCTCGTTAAGGCCTATGACAAATTCTACTCTGGAATCTGCCAGAAGAAGGTTCCGATCGTAGTCGTCGTCACAGGATTAGAGAAAGAAACCCACATGGAGAACTGGTGGGATACCAATGTGGAAAAATTCAAGGGCATGTCTTTCGCAGACCATGCTTGCGTCACAACGCTTTGGGAACACTCAAGCTTCCCAGACCACGTCACTCATCGTATTTTGGAATCGGGCAATATTCTGCGCAAGCTTGTCGTGGAAAATTGCGCGGATTTGCCAGTTCCTAACGGCTCGGATTCGGCGGCCGGCACAAGCTGGCTCAAGAAGATCGGTAAGAAGGGATGAACGACGAGCAGGAAGTGAAATGTTAAGTTTAGGAGATTATAGTGGTGTACCGTATGTTACATGTTCAAACGTTCAAGTTCGTCACCATGCTCACCACCTGATTCATTATGATACATTGCCTCATTCCATGTTCGCGCATTATTCTGGAATAAACTTTCTATTCTGTATCCTGCATGAGGCATCGACTGGTCAATAAGTGACAGGATAAGCCGGTAAGGTCAATAACGGTCTGAGTAATGTAACTTACAGATACAAAAAATGTCGTTGCAGTCGTTGGAGACAGTGGTGTTTGGGAGGGTGTGACAGGCGTTGGAGTGGCAGGTAGCAGTTAGGCCCGGAAATTACGCGGATCAGCGCGAGAGGTGCCTTCACACATCGGGGTGAACGATATTTAAAAGAGGTTTATATGTTGTACAAAATGTGAAAACAATATTTGATATTTAAACTAACATAAAGATGCGTGCACGACTTCAAATTTTGGTGGTGTTTTGTGTGTCATCCAAAATATCAAATATTCACAACCATATTCCCACAGACAATATGTCAACAAATATAATAAATATAATCAGATTTTCTATGTCTGCTTCAATTTAAAGTTTGATTCTTACATAAAACTTTGGAGAAAACTTGAAGTTTTGCCAAAGCTTGACATTTAAATCGAGTTTTAATGTCATGTCATCTGTAAAACTTCAAGTTTTCTCCAAAGTTTTACATGGAAATTGAACTTTAAGTTGGAGCAGACATGAAAAATCTGACTATATTTCTTATGTTTGTTGACATATTGTCTGTGGGAATATGGTTGTGAATATTTGATATTTTGGATTACACACAAAACACCACCAAAATTTGAAGTCGTGCACCCATCTTTATGTTAGTTTAAATATTAAATATTGTCTTCACATTTTGTACAACATATAAACCTCTTTTAAATATCGTTCACCCCGATGTGTCAATGATGTGTCTTCTGAATGAGAAGTCGCAAACGGCCATGGGAGAGCAGCAGACCGAGGTATATTACACAAGAAAAGTGAACTAGTATGGCGACGTCATGACGAGCTCGATGATAACGACGACGAAAACGACGCTGCATTTGGGCCAGTACACCACTTATGTAAAGAAACGTTATTAGTCACCGGCACCTGCCAAGGATAAGTAATTCTAAATCGAAGTCCACTTAATGATTCGCACATAAGTTAGCTGTGGCTAGCACGACAAAGTGCTACGGTTTAGTATTTATGACGAACTAAAAGTATGCACTAACTAAATCCAGCTCGAGGTATGCATATATGAGCGCTGAGCGCTTGAGACTCGAAGGACTTTTACTCGAAGGTTCGTGTTTGGATTTTCAACTTTCAGATCTTGCTTCTCCCGGCAGAACTGGCAAAACCATGTTTCAAGTGCCTCCATGCTACTATTATGCTATATAATACTACATCCTCCCACGGTTCTGCCTGTGGGCCCGGGAGTTCTGCCCACAAGACTATTCGAGGGCCACGGGCGTCGGGGCGATGCGCTGCGGAACTTCGAGAAACATATAACGAGTGGATAGAAACGGTACGAGTATTTTCTGGTGTAGATGTTCATTATATTTCACAGTTCGTGGTCCTAGGGTCCATTCAAATCGAGTTGCGCTGTCACAACGTTGCACCATAGCCTGAGATACCTCCTACTACTATCCTACACGATTTGATCCTGCATCTATATGGCAATAATCAAGTAAAATAGGACAACACGGACCCCGATCCCTGATCTCTTTCCGACACTAGCCGCAGAATCAACTGCTAAGCGTGTCCGTTTATGTACTATGTGGAACGAGGCTCAGGACAATTTAGAAGCATCCTGACTTATACTACTACGTACCGCGGACTCGGATAAGTTGACTCTCCCTCTAAAAGACGTACGCCGGACTAGTCACGAGTCTAGGGTCTAGGGACGACGACAGTATAACGCCGCCGCCCGCTGTCGTGTACAAACCTCCTGGTTGCTCCGAGTCAACTTCATATTTAAACTCCATTATAGGATAGTATGTATGCCCCATCCATCGCTCAATTAGCCTCTATTATCCATGTCCACACCTTTCCCCAGTGATGAAACTGCAACGCAGGCTCCCGAAAACGTCTCGCAACTCGTCAAAGACGCTGGAAATCCCAGCCTTGTCGACCTCTCGGATGCACTAGGTTTGCCCGAAGGTGGTTTTGACGCTTGGGGCACAGTGCTGGGCTCGTAAGTGCATCTGTCCACCTATCAATCACTGCATACTCACCATCAACCACGACTGTTAAGTTTCTTGATTCAATTCTGTGGCTTCGGGTAAGTTTCACTCGGCATCTATGGGCCCCAACTAATAACACGTTCCAGATATGTCAGCGCTTACGGTGTCTTCCAGGGCAAGCATATTTGTGAATTACCAAGTACTTGGACGGACTGACCACGATATGCAGACTTTTACACTCAAACATACCTAACCAATTCCACACCATCTGCAATCGCGTTAGTAAGATCTAGATCTACCTAGGCCGTTTCTTAGCTGCTAGTGTTTCTGACTTCTACCGCCGTGTAGCTGGATAGGAAGTGTTAATGCGTTCTTGATATTATCAGTTGGTATCGTGTCAGGAAGGATGGTCGACCAGGGCGCATTGTATGTGTGCAAGAAGTCCGCATAAAGATGTCCCTGATCATATATTTCCAGTTACCCTGTGATGAAAATCGGCTGTCTCCTTCAATGCTTCTTCCTCTTTATGTTGTCTCTAACGAAACCAGATGGGTATTATCAAGCAAGTCTTGTTTCTGTTAAAGCGCGGCTTCGTTGACCGTATTGTTGTGTATGCAGATATTTCTTTCCCAAGGTATCGGTCTCGGTATTGCAATAGGCCTCACAAATGTCCCGTCCATCGCCATAGTGTCGCATCACTTCCAGCGACGCAGAGCTGTTGCGATGGGAATTGTCGTGGCAGGGTCGTCACTGGGTGCAATCTTGTACCCCGTCATGCTCAACAATCTCATCAATGGAAGACTTGGCTTTGCAAATGGTGTCCGTGCAAGCGCAGCCTTGAATGGCGGCCTACTTTTTATCGCAAATCTCTTGCTGCGAACAAGGCTTCCACCGCAACCAAAGGCCGTCAGCTACACCCGCGTTCTGCGAAACTCATCGAGAGATGGCGCTTACATGTGTGCTTGTGTAGGGTGCGTAAGCTTTGCAATACTCGATTATATGAACACTAAAGTTCCTTTCACTGGTTAGTATGGCTGCTTTTGAATTTGGGTACTTCTTCGAAGCCTTTTATCTTCAGTTAGATTCCACCCTGCATGGTCTAAGTCAAGGATTTTCATTTTATTCAGTGCGTATCAGAGACTACTCAAATAATCAAGAACTGCTTACCACTCCGACAGCTCACAATTTTTAGTTCTGGTGGTTTCATGGGAAGACTTACTGTAGGTTTTATCTCTGCCTACGTGGGCATCCCAAACACCATCATCGTCTCTTCATTAATATCCTCCGCTGTACTATTTGCAATGGTTGGCCTGCACTCGGCCACCAGTGTAGCTGTTATAGCTGCAAGCTATGGGTTTTTTTCCGGAGGTGGTGCGTAGGTTCATGATGCTCCTCTGACACTCACCAAGTTTCGACCCCAGTTGTAGCGATGATGGGCCCGGCGATATCGATTCTGACTCCTGAAATATCACATATTGGGTAACTATTTCACACTTGCCTTTGAATCTCTCTGACACTGCTCAAGTGCACGGATAGGGATAGCGTTTGCAATAGCTGGTAAGTCTGTGGGTCTATATTTGGCGACACCCTGAGTCTTGACACGTATTCACTATTCACAGGCATTGGATCACTCCTGGGCACGTGCGCTGCGTACCTTTTCTCGACCGTCACTCACGCTCAGCTTAGGTGCACCGATTTGTGGAGCGTTCTTGACGTCTCATTACATTTGGTGGAAGGCTGTTATCTTTGCTGGGGTGAGCGAACCATGTCAAGCTGCACTGCTGGTTTTTGGCTAACATACCGTCTAGAGCGTCGCTACTGGCGGCTGTATCATGTTCGTATCTATGCAATTCATCTTGGAGATGCGTCAAAAGTCTTCAAGTGTTTGCTTCAAGAAAGCTGATGTCTGATTTGTGTCACCCGAGCATGTATTTCGCATTGTACATGAGAGAATCTCTATATTTATATACCGAATATTAACAACGTTCGGACGCGGTGATCCGCGAGCTGTATAACGGAGGAAAAAGTTATAGTATGAATAGCCAATACATGAGTCTGTTTTCGATCGACGATGCTAGTGGCGCTTGCATCCGTCCGGATGGCGCCCATGTTGATTTGATATGATACGACCCCTCCATATTCCCATCTTCATCCTCCTTCACTTGTCACTCGACTCCCCTCGCTACCCTTCGCCCATGTTGTACATAAGTACTCACTGTCGATGGGTTGCGATGTAATGAGAATAAATGTTGCTAACAACGTCACGAAGTTACATCGACGCTACTTCACTACAAATATGACACGTCCTAGTTTTATATATAGATCCGCATATATAAGATTTGATTCCACAGTACTAAGGCGACCGAGGGGTGATCATGGGAAACGGAACTACATGGTATGATATTGCAACATACGTCCGCGTACGTGAAGATGAAGCTACGATACTAAAGTCCCTGGGAGTCCGAGTGGAGCCGCTGGGCCACATCGCGACAGAAGCTGATATAAGACATGATGAACGTAGGTGATATAATTTTTGACGGGGAGACAAGTACGCAGGTGAATGAGAACAAGGGACATGCACAGAATTATGAACGACGGCTTTCAACCTATGTAAAGTGTGAACGAAAGAGAGAAGACTCGTTAGAAAAGTGAGTAAATGCATTTTTAAAGTGAATAAATCAATTTGTGACTGGTTTTCGAATATTAGTATATGCAGGGGGAAGCTCTACGGTGTCTGGCTGGCCCTCGGCCTGCTCATCTGCGGCGCCTGCGTCGTCGTGCTGAATGATGTTAATAGGCCGGAGCTGTCTTGGCGTGGGAGATTTGCGGGAGCTGCTTGGGATTGTACCACCAGTGATACCCATTTCATAATCAGGCGTTGTAGATCGCATATCGCTGAAACTCCCGAACGTCGACTGTCTACGGTCCGAGGTGCCGTAACGTGAGCCAGACATAGCTGTGCCAGCTCTGCCCTCTTCACCTCCAACCATAGGAGATGTTTCTGCCGGCTCAGTGGCGAGGAAGGGTTCGGGACGGTAGTAATTTCCGAGTTCACCAGGTGCTAGATCATGATCGTCTTCTGGATCACCTTGAAAGAGGTCGACGGGACGTTCCTTAGTGACCTTGGTGGCGGTTTTACGACGGATAAAGTAAAACCCTGCGAGCGCAATGATGACGAGTGCAGCAAGGCCACCGATAATGCCACCTACAATGCGTGAGACGAATGTTTAAGGAGCGGGTGTGAAAAACCGAGCTTACCAACTATTGCCCCGACATTGGTTTTGCTGTGGTGGAGATGGTTAAAAATAGCCATCCAGGTGGTGAACAACATGGCCTACCTGCTGCTGCTGCTGCTGCTGCTGCTAGTGCCACTACTGGTGTCTGTACTGCTGGGGCTAGTTGGGTATGTACCACCTGCGGGAGAACCGATAGTGGATGAGGGCGAGGTGGTGGTTAAACACGAGCTGTTTGGAAATATGCCTTGTGCGACGGTATACAGCCCACTTCCTCCTGTACCTAGCCCACGGTCGTCTCCGGCAACTATCATGAGGGTGGTGCCTTCGCGGACAGAGGGTATCCAGCTAAACCCAGTGCCCTCGTTAGATACCTGTGTTATCGAGCCTTCGGGAATTGAAAAGGATTGTCCACCAGGGATGACACCTTGAAAGGATGGAGTGCTGTTGAAGCATGTTGTTTGAAGGAGGCTGGTATAAGGGAGAAAAAAGCGTACCCTTCGACTTGTGTAGGGTCCCACCACAATCTACTTGCATTGCATTGTACGACCTGGTTGGTAGGGTATATGTTGAATGGAAAATCTGGCATGACGGTTGTATTTGGGTTAAAGCAACTGCTGTCGGTACTGCTCATCACATAACCAGCAACGCTAGTCCCGCCAGATCCAAAACCAGTGCTATCGCTGACCTACATACTTGTGAGCTTATAGACGAGACGCGTCAAAAGTGAAGATACTCACCACGGCGACGAACTGGGATGTGGACGGGTATTTGAGTTGGAAACTGGTGCTAGTGGAGCTACCATCAAACTGTTGATACACAATGGTGCGGACCTCTGTGTTATTTGGGAGAGGTGTGGGGCCATATGGAATAACTAGAACACTGTATGGAGGAGAGCCAGAGCCAGATATTTGTAGGGATAAGGTGGCGCATTGCTGAGGTGTGGTAGTGAAGGACCAAGTGTAACTGGAGACAAGAGGAGAGAAAGAGAGAGCCAGTTGTGATGCAACGAGATATCGGTGCATTGTCGACGTCATGACCGTCAAGTCGTGACCTCAAAAATCTGTTATCAGACTTTGTGAAATTATTTCAAACTGCTGGGTTCATTCGTAGAGGCGAGAAGGACTTGTAACGGTGGACGCAGAGCGTATTTTAGTTAATACTCGGAAGCGGTGTGGAGAGCCCGACACGCCACAGCCTGTCGTAACCAGTGAAACAACAATATAAGCGCTCGCTGTCCGAAATTACGATTAGCTCACTTAATCGCTGTCACGCATGACACGCACGGCCTCCAGTTTTGCACTGACCTTGCTATGATAATGTCTAGTATTTTAACCACTAATACAACGAGCATTATGGAGATACACCATATTAAGGTTATCTTAATTCCCACGCATCACCTTCTCGAGATCGACGCTAGAGCCTTGCCGGTAACTTCTTGCTTCCTCTCGCCCACAACACTACACGCTGTACCAGTGCATTCTACACACCCTTCTCTACTCGGCCCACTATTCATCTTTATATTTTTAACCGTTAATCAAACCCACAGATACCTATTATAATGACTTCGATAGTCGACCAACCCCCTCGTGCACCCCCCATCAAGTATACCGCTCATCTAGGAACTCGCTGGCAGAAAGAAAAGGCTGCCGCAGGTCACGGCGCCTTCGAGTTTCCCGAAGATCCAAGATATATCGGCCAGTGGATCATCGGCGAGTGCGTCGGCAAAGGTGCAAGTGGTCGCGTCCGCATCGCAAAGCACCGTCGTACCGGCCAACTCGCCGCAGTCAAAATTCTTCCCCTTCAACCACTAGTCAACTCCCGTGCTTCCCTTGCCACACAGCAGGCAAAATCAGAAAAGCAGCGGTTGGGTATCGATAGAGAAATTATCATGATGAAGCTCATGAACCACCCAAACATCCTCCGTATCTACGATGTATTTGAAGGCGAGAAGGAACTTTACCTCGTCCTCGAGTACGTAGAAGGTGGCGAGCTCTTTGACTTTCTTGTCAACCGCGGAAGGCTCCCTCCTCTAGAGGCTCTCTCCTTTTTCAAGCAAATTGTCTATGGACTTAACTATGCTCACACTTTCTCTATCATTCATCGTGACCTTAAACCCGAAAATATCCTGATTCACTCACTAAAACCGCCACTCATTAAACTGGCCGATTGGGGCATGGCCGCCTTTGCCCCTCCTGCCCTACAGCTCGAGACTAGTTGTGGAAGTCCTCACTACGCAAGCCCAGAGATTGTCAACGGTCTGAAATACAGAGGCAATGCCACTGATATCTGGAGCTGCGGCGTTATCCTCTTCGCGTTACTTACCGGCAGGCTTCCATTTGACGACAAGAATGTCAGGATTCTTCTTTCTAAAGTGAAGGCGGGCAAGTACGATATTCCAGCCTACATCGATCCTCAGGCAAAAGACCTCTTAACTCGCATGTTGGTAGTAGATGTTAACCGTCGTATTACGGTAAGCGGTAGTTCTTTATTATTTTCAACATTATCAAACGCTCTCAGATTCCCGAGATAATGGCTCACCCCTGGTTCAACAAACCAACTCCCGGGATTGTCTATGTTCCAGCTCCCTCTGTCGTCGAATTAGCTCTTCCCCTCCCGTCAGCGGCCCGTATCGACCCTGATCTTTTGGAATCTCTTCGCGTCATCTGGGGGAGACATGGCGACATCGAAATGATCAAAGCCGACCTTTTGAGCTCACCAGGCGAAGGCACATTGGCTAAGGCATTCTATTTCTTGTTGCAACACTACCGCGAGCAAACTTTGAAGGATCATGGTATTATTCTCGATGTAGGCGAGACGCCTGTGTCTCCTGGCATGAAGGTTATTACAAAACAATACATGTCCCCCCCTCCAAAGAGAAGCGTCGATGCAGATGCGCATTCTTTACGTCTACAGAGTATTCGGGATGCGCCTCCCCCTCCGTCCCGCACACCATCGCCACAGCAAGCTGGTCTGGCGTCTCCTTTCGTTGACGGAGCTTTGCGAGCCCGACCCCCGTCCCCGATCGGGCCCAGGCCACCTCGTGTCCGACCTATGTCCTCCCCGGCCCGTGAGGTCCCCATACGTCATAAGAGCATGAGAATTGGCCATACCATCGCTGATCCTGTGAATGCCCACCCCGAGCCCCAATACAGGACGCGTGCATCAACCGTCTCCCTTCTCTATCCTCGAGCGAATCAGGACCAGCACAGTTATCACGCTCACAACCAGCAAATGTTCCAACCTCTGACCGTTCCAAGCACACCGCCAATGGGGTCTCGTTTTCCTGGCGCTCCTGCACACCCCGTCCTCAATCCTTGTATTATCCGAGCTCCTATTCCAGTCTCCGCTGTTGCGAACGAACAAGTTTCAGCAAACTCGATAGAAGTCGATATGCAGCCTGCGACGGGCTCTGATCCGGATTGGGTGAACGTTCTTTCTGCGTGGCACACTGTGGCGCAGGGGCACAATCAGGAGCAGGCTTTCCATTCTCCGACTCGAGGATACAGCGAGACATTTGTTAACCGTCATGGATATGCCCCGTTGAATGGCCCTATGGTCGATTATGAGTATGACCGATTCTCCAGTGGAGCCAATAAGGAGAATCACGACCATCATAACTTCCGACAGCCTTACCGGGAGGGCAGCGATATCATGCAGGCACGTGGTGGGCTGTTTGGTGGTAGGCTCAACGAGGGACGCGTCGGTCGCGAGTTGCGCAATAGTGTCTATGGTGCTCGTGAGGTTATGAAAGAAAAGGACAAAAAGGCACGACGTAAGGATTTTTCTTTTTCTCTGTTGCACTTAAATATTAACATCTTACCAGCCCCCGCGCTTGATTTGCACCCACAAGTTCACCCATCCAAGCGTTCCATCCTCGGCTCGCCACTCCAGATCCCCTCACCCGTCATGCCCTCTATCCTCGCCTCCCCTGTTGGCGAAGTCAAAGGCTGGTTTTCCAACCTCTTCAACTGGAAAGCACACACCTACGTGCTCTGTTCGACGGATACGTTGTACGCCACGCGCAATGAGGCTGTTCGCATTCTCGAGCACTTTGGCGTCATCGTGGGCCTTGAGGAGACGGATGGGCATGGGGTTCTCCGATGTCGTATGAACGACCTCATGGACACAATGTCAGGATCGGTCATACAGAAACCAGTTCGGTTCCGTGTCGAGTTCTCCTCGTCATCTTCGTCCTCGTCGTCTCCACGGTCCCCCACCCCTGCTAGTCCACGATTACCCATGTATCATGCTTCAGGACCGATGTCGCCTACGTTTCGATACGGGTTTGGGAAGCCGTCGTTAGGGAGCGGATTCACCTGCGCGATCCTGCTTGTGCAAGAGAAGGGGTCGTTGTCTAGTTTTAGGATGGTGTGTAGGTGGCTGAGGGAGGAGTGGGCGTTGGATGCTTTGCAGTCACCTGTTGCTATGACTGGGGCGTTTACGGAGCGGCTTGTGGTGTGACGCGGCGAGACTTGCACACTATGTCACTCCCTGTCTTTATTTGACGAGAATATCAGACGACTCGTGTACAGGTTATGTCATTTTACATCCGATAAGTTAGAATACGGTATCGGTACAAGAAAGATCCTAGAGTGAAATGAAACTACACATAAACTATACGAGTGATCAGAGTGAAAACAATAATGAGTGTTCGGAGACAGCCAGCCAGCCACAAACACGACCCAAATCATATAAAGTCCTAGATCAGCCTACACATCACATAAAAGACTGGACAAGCCGTGGGATTCTAAACAATTGACACGGGCACCTCTGCAGGGTGCTCGCTTTCTGTGGCCTCGGCGGTATGTTCGCCGTCAGAACGCGCCACGCTCAGACGCATGAGGCCTGAACGGATGCTATTGAACATACCGCCAGGTGCCGGCGGCGCGGTTGCCAGAGGGTCGTCGTCGTGTTCATCCTCACGTTCATGCTCGTGTTCGTGCTCATGTTCGTCATCCTCATGCTCGTGCTCATCGATGGACGCACGATGTTCATCGTCGGATATATCCTTCGTCGGAGGTGTCGTTGAAATCCGTAAAAGCGAGGTGTAAGCTGGATATGTGCACGATATGTCAGGCGAGACGCAAGTAAGATATATGCAACTTACGTCGACGGCAGACGGGGCAAAACCAGCCTTTTGCCTTTCGCTTTCTGCGTATGTTCTGAGCGATCGTGGTGGGTACTGGAGCTGGAGCAGAGCCTTCTGTAGCTGAAGCCTCACCGCCCGCAGGTGCAGTTGTGGTTTCTTCAGTGTGGATAATATTGCCGCCAGCACCGAATTCGACCATATTAATGGCACATTCCTTGCATGCGACGAGGTGGCGGCAAGGGAGTAGAATAACCTCGCGTGGGGAAGAAAGGCATAGTAAACACTCAGATGAAGGTTCATCCTCGTGTATAGGCGCTGCGGATGCAGACGTGGGCGGGTAAGTATGTGCGTCCGGTGTGGAAGAAGCCGCATGTGGTTGAGAGGATGAAGTAGACTGAGAGGAAAGACCATAGATCTCGTGCAAGTGGAACGTGTGAGGTCCAATCTACGAATCATAAAATGAAAAAAGGATAGAGTGACCAGATACGAAACGCACCGTGGCTTCACGTTTCACAACCTTGACGACCCAAGACCTGGTGTCTTCTTTTTCATCATCGGGCGCAGTGCCGAACCGGACGACATGGAGGTATGTTATCTGCTCGTTGACTACAGACAGGTCGGTACCGCCCTCGTCCAACGCTGATAACCGGATAGTGACTCGAACGCCATCCTTCACCTCTTCTTTGTCCCCTTTCTCTTCACTTCCTTCAACTGTGGGTGCAGATACTTCTGCATCAACAACGGCAAGCGCGGGTCCTGATACAGACGTGCTAGTGGAGCGCTTCCGGAAATTGAATCCCGTAAAGCGTTTCCGGACACGGTCGTTCCTACTACTAGCAGGAGCGGAGGAGTCAACACTATCTGCTGCTCGGGACGACTCGGGAACTCCGGTAATCTGGGAAGAGACAGTCTCTGCTTCGATATGTTGGTGCTCAAACCTTCCTAATTCGAGGGTTGCACCTTCATCTAGATGCAATACTTTACCAAAACCACCGTCAACGATGGATTCGAAAACAGAGATGCACGAGTAGCCCGTGCTATCTATGGTCTCTGCATAGGGGTGGTCTGCAGGTAGCACCACACTAACGTTTATGCGACACTTGGCTGCGTCGCAATCGTATTCGAATTCCAAACCATGGTTATGGTGAGAATCAACTTGGTCCGGATCATCTCCCGATGAGATGATCAAAGGACATAAGCGGAGCGTGGGCCGCTTGAGATTAACCAACGCCTGGAGAGTAGTCGTTGGCTGTGAAGGCTGTGCATGAGTCAGTACATAAGACGGGACATCAGACGATGCTTGGAGCACCTCTTTGCTCCTTGTGATCCAGTTCTGGATAATATTTGAAGAGACATTATCTGCGGGAGCCTTTTGTCCCAAGGATTGAGCCCACTGGGGTGTAGAGCCGACGACGCCAATGTTGGGCCCGAAGAGGGTCTCCTGTTTCTTCTCCTTCTTGGATGAATCATCGTCCATGTTGATGATGACGGCATCTTGTGTATTTGTGCGAGCCATGGAGGTAGCAGTACGAGATGTGTGGGTATCGGTGCGAGCTAGGAAAGGAGTAGCGTGAAGACGACGAGTGCGATTCCAAGTTGAATACTGATTGTGATCTACAAGGATGATTAACAGGGATAGAAATGGACTAGCAGGGTTTAATTCTTACACCAAGTAGAGATGGAAGCCATCCTCGTGGGTTTAGGATGAAGAAGCGCAGCATATAGGCAACTTCCTCCTACTATGGGAAAATTCAAAAAGCCGATGGTCATACTGACGAATCACTGATCATTCTAAATTAGTCTGCTTGCTCTAACTATCCTTGGCTTCAATCTTCATGTACAACTTCACCGTTCACAATTAATTATCATGTTTCAGGCATGGGCGTTCTTATTGCAGCATGTCATAATAGTATCATGGTGTGTGATAGGTAAAAGAAAAAAACAATGATGATGGGACTCAGAGCCTATGCCACTAGCGACACGACACCGCCAGCCTCCTTAATTTTAGCTCTGCGCACTGCGTGAGTATACTCTCAGGAATAAGGGAGTGTATTCAACATACTCTGCTTTCTGCGAGACAAAACGTGCCTTGACGATAAAAGGAAGCTTGGGCAGTCTGCTTCAAAGTCAGAATTGATACGAGATCAAAGTAGATCACGACTCACTGTCCATTACCAAGCACCTTTCCATAGCCATGTTGGAGGGTGTCAATGACAGGAACAACCTCAGAGTCCTCCGTCAACCCTTGCTTTTCCGCTTCAGGCACAAGCGCCCATAGTTTATCAACGTTAATGATAGGCCGCCATTGTGCGTTGCGGGTCAAATGGTAGTGGCGCATACCAACTTTACCGAAGTAACCAGGATGGTACTTATCGAAGTTGGTGCTGAGGGTGATCAAATTTAATTCGCTGCAAAGAGCCTGATACCAAATCAAACACACCGGTGGTGGTGCTGACCACCAGCGAGACCGCGACCTCCGGGATGTTTACGGTGCTTTCCAACACGACCATGACCGGCAGAGACGTGGCCACGGTGCTTGCGAGTCTTCGAGAGATGGGTCGGCATTTTCTGCAAAACCAAGCATCCAATATCAATAATCTGATGCATCCAAGTCGGGCCCCATGCATCCAGCAGCAAGATATCATCTCTCAGCACCACGACACCTCCATTCGACAGCTCCGGTCGCGTATAATCTCCTGCTGGATAAACGGGGCGTAATAAACGAGCATGAACTGACCTTGAGGCGCGAGTGTTGGTGTCGGTGACCTTGCCTCTAAGTTTCTCGATGCAGGACTGTCGGCGGTTATAGCGGAGTTTCAAAAGTCGGCTTTGCGCCAAACCCCTACCTTGTACCACCTTCACGGCCTCAATCTTTTCAGGGCGTTGTAGCATATCCTGAGGTGAGTTTCATCATCAATCAGCACGCAAATGATGGCCTTAGGCACTACGTAAGGAGTTGCTAAGAAAAATCTTTCTAATGGACACAATCTGTTTTTCTGATACTTTTTATGCTTGTTTCGGGGTTCTGACGACCTCGACCCCAGATATACGCACAAATTTGCTGGCCGAGACAGTGATAGTAGGTGCGAGCATAGGAGAAAAGCAGGGCTCTACGTGATAATTGGCATCGCATACTGTGTTGAATTGAACTATGTTCGTGACTACCGTGTCCCTTCCTCGCCACTGCGAGCTTATACAAGTCTCCATGGTGCTTCCTCATAGCTGTTATGAACGCGCCAAACAGATTTGAGCTCTTTGTCCTCGAAGACGGCGAGAAACCGTGCGTTTCTGCAATTGCATCTTAAAGCAGACGCTTGACAGATGGGTCACAGTGTCGAAGTCACAGAAGACACCAAAATACCCAATGCAGCCACTTTCAAGATCGTGAAGCAAGACCACACGTTGGGTAACATGATTCGCGCGTACGTCTCTACTAAGCACCCGTGTTCTACCTCCTGGAGTGTGTGAATTGTCTTCCAGGCAAGTTCTTTCGATGCCTCAAGTGCTCTTTGCCGGATACAAAGTACCTCATCCACTACATCCCTATTTCCTGTTGAAAATTCAGACGGATGGATCCATGACGCCGCAAGCTGTCCTGGAGCAAGCCTGTACGAAACTCATTGCCACAATATCCTCGCTTGAGGCAAAGTTCAAGCGAGAGTTCTCCTTCAAGACGACTGAGGGTAATGTGCCAGAGGACCCATATGGCACGACGGGCGCAAGTGCGCAGAACTGGGGGACAGGGAAGGATTATTTGGATTTTTAGGATACACATACCTGTCACGTCGTGGTCGTACATGTGTATATAATATCGCCTTTGTTGAGTATACCGATTTTTGCACCCCGAACCACGCGGATCACCGCGGCAACGTGTCTGCAGTGATATTTCACAGGGCGCAGTGGGTGCGTTGTCATTGTGCGCAGCTAAACACAATATATGGCTACAGATAAACCATAAGTAATGTAGGGTGCCGTAGAAAACACCGTGGATAATTATGCAGCTTTACGTGCAGCAAACTTCGCCTTGGATTTCGCAGCACGCATGGACTGCTTCTCCTGCCAGCTACGTTTCCTCTCTTGGGTTGTACTAATCCCGACTCCTGACCGCTCGTCCTCGCTCGCTGCCCTGATTGATTCATCTATGCACTCTTCCATTTTCATTTGTACCGCCGATTCAAAATCTCCGCCGGTAGAATTTATAGACGCATCCACCGTCCATTCGAAATCGAAACCCCATCCACGTCGCAGTGACGGTGCATGAAATCCATCCGACCCCGTCGGAAGCTTTTCTGGAACCGAAGCAGATACAAGACCGCCTTCATTGCGCCACCATTCTACGAACCACTTTGCTGCTCTCACGGTGTCCTTCTCGCCCCCTCGTAACAGCATATTAAGCCGTATCGCAAGTTGCTCCAAAAAATCTTCCGCATCTGTAGATGGACGTGAACCAGGCGGGAGAAGTGTTAAATATGCTGGCGCTATATGTCTATCGGGTCAGAACCGCAAAGCAGTGACGGTATGGCAGAGCAGACGCACAAATAGGATTTAGCACGTTCAGCCTATACAGCAAGTATGCAACAAGCGCTTCGATGTCATATAAGCTCTCTTTAATGCCGGCTGCGGTGAAATATATTTCAGCCAAATATGCACCGGTGATAAAATACGTTTTACCTATGAGAGCAAGCTTGACTCCTCGCTCTGCACCCCGATCACCTCTCCCGAGAAATGGTAGCATTACACCGGGCGAATCATATGAATATACGAGCGGATCTTCTGAGAGCTTAAGGCGGGTTGAGATAGCGCGTGTATGGCCAGGCTGTGCAGATGTTTGTAGTGCCTTTGGCGTCCCTGCGTGTATGTGCTTAACTCATTTTGAGGGGTCAATGTATGATTTAAACTCACGACCTGGGATACCCATATTGCGAAGGGAGTTCAATAATGTTGATTTGCCAACATTAGGCATGCCAATCACCAGGACATTCATCTCAGTTGCATGAGGGTTCCTCTTGGCTATATCTACATTTTTCGTCAGCTTCATTGCGCCAAGGAAAACAGGGTAGACATGTCGAGAAAATCAGCCACATACTTATGAGCATTTCGCTCAGGGATCTTATGTCTCGCGGTTTATTACAAGAAGCGAAATGCACCGTTTGATCAGGAAATTTTGTTTTCATGGCTCTCTTAAAGGGCTGCGTTTAAAGGGGAATGAGACAGCACGATGAACAGGGGAGGCAAGAAATTACCTCGACACCCCATTCAGGGACGAAGTCACGCTTGTTTAAGACCACGATACGTTCGCAGATTGGGCCACCATAGCCTAGGGACGAATTCCTAGATGGAGTGAGAGAAATGGGAGTGACATGGGTGGAGTGGTGGCCGCGCTCGGCCCTCCATTTGTTGATAGCACCTGTCAAAAATAGAATGTATCAGGGCCGATAATGCTACCCGTCGTAAAATAGGGTGATTCCAGAACAGGGCAAGAACGAAGGAAGTTCTGGATAAGAAAATAGTCACATAGGTGACAGCGGAAGCAATTATAGGGTGGAACTGAAACTAGACCAAGATAATGTTTTTCTTTCTCAAAACGGCTACGCACCGGGACCGAATAATAAGTAGGCCGGAGGAGATAAGCTTACCTTCCAGATTGTTGTTAATGCTAGTGAGAGGTAGACGAGAGTCTCTGAGCTCCAGGACAACATCTGTACGGGACAGTAGTGCTGGAAGCTGCTTCGTGAATCGGTTCATGTGCCCAGGGAACCATGACGGTGGGGATGGAAGCGCAGGAAGTGACATGACAGACATCATTTTGAGCTAACCGTTAATTAGATACAATATTGTGGATTCAGTCGGCAGCAAAATGGGCTGATGGCTTCCGACCGGAGTTTGATCCGGGAAAATGGAGAGAGGTGGGCTCCGCTGTAACCTGAGACAATTGGAATGCAGGATAAGCAACGTAACGCATATAATAAGAGTTGTCCTATTGAACTAGCTGTTATGGTCTTCCAGTTGTGTGATGTTGGTTTGTGACAAAAGGATTACTGAAGTACATACGCTGCTTAGAATGAACATGGTTGTTTGGCTTTATTGAATTCTAAAGCCTCCGGCATCTCGGCACAATCAATCACTACGACTGGTGAGTGCAAATATTGACGGAACTTCCGCGATTGCAGGGAGACCCGGTTTGGACCGGGCAGTGCATCGACGTTCCTTGCATGAGACATCCGTTCAAGTTATGGATACGATACTGCTCGCAAACTGGATACCATGAAAGCACAATCCCAGATTATTAGGAATTTCATTCATCGGCCGACATCAAAATCGGTCATCATACATACATATATTTAGCAAAGGATACCCAGAAAGGCTGGTAGCTAGATAAAGAAAGCCAACACCATGACACCCGACCAAACAACGGAAGACGACAAGATTGACTGTTAAAACCAGGCGGTACAACAAATACAGAACTAGGACCAAAATTGATATATGTGTGCATATACTGTAGCTATAGTTATTGAGATGAGCGAGATAGAGGTGTAAGAAACCAGTTAAGATGGTGGGGAATATACCAAAGGGGGTAAGTTGCAATTCGGACGAAATCCTTCCGACCCGTGGGCTGGTATCAGTGTGATTTCAAGGGGCATCGCGATGAGAAGGGCAGGGGTATGATGGTGTGTGTAAGGAGCTGTAGAACGTCCATCAGATCATATTTTACAGCGGCAAGTAAGGCGGTGAAATTCCAGACCATTTATACCCAACCATCCTTTCCAACACCTATTGCGTCGAAACTTTTGCCACTGCGTGTGCGTCTCTCCTGTAGCACAGGGACTGCATCTAGATTGATGAGCTTCTCGGACGGCGCTGGCGAACCCTCCACCCAACCCTTCCAGCCCTTCTTCACAGCAATTCTTTTTTTCCGTGGTTGTGGAGCGCTTCTGTAATGGATGAAGGCATCAGAATCGAGATAGTCATCTGCAGGTGTGCGGGGGCGCTTCGATGATGTACGGGATGTAGCCGAAGAAACTGACGGTCCGGGGGTAGACTGTGGGGAAGATGCCATTGGGGGCGGTGTAACGGATACAGAGCGCTGCATGGTCGCAATGTGTATAGTAGGTCGGTGACTCGTCCCGCGGGCGCGCCAGAAAGAAGAGGTCTGCACGGCAGGGGCACTGATTGATTGGATAGCCACGATGGGCGCAGGTGGAGGTGCAGTGGCACTCTCCACTTTGATAGGTTTCTCTGGAACCTTGGAGGTCGCTTTTGTCCTTTGTTTCTCCTTCAGACGTTCCCTCTTCTCTTTCTTTTTTGTTCTACGCGTCTCTTCCTCCTTCTCAACTTCCTTGTAAGGTGCTACGCCATTGAGTAGGCTAGTAAGCACATCCCGGGGAGGTCGTAGATCGAAATCGCCAGCGAGGACACTAGTAGCGGTGCGGCGTTGCCGCTTATGTGCCAGAAACATTGGCTGGTGGTGGGGAACCAAACGAATTGTTGTTGAGAGGGGCATGGAGTAAGGGGAGGTATAAAAGAAAGGCGCAGTGGAGTCGTGTTTTAAAGTAATTCTCATTGCTTGTTGTACACTTACGGCAAAAGGATAAGCACCCACAAACAAATCATCGTTGATTCTTCCACACCACAACCATATCAATCACGGAACCTTCCACGCTTCCTTAGAAGTCCCTAGAAAAATGATCATTCTGTACGATCCTGGTCACCGGCCTGCGCCAGACCTGTGGCACAGACAAAAGATATAAGTCATTTTCCCTCTTGAGCTTGACCAAACAGCCTGATGTGGCAGCTGCTGTGCAGCCTTGCACGTTTTTGGTCCAACGTTGATATGGTCTGGGAACATTCCAGGAACTGCGCTCCCGCCATGTTTCTAATCTTGCTCTATTGTGAAACTAAGATTGGTTATAATACTCTTATCCATCGCAATCAGATGAAATTAACATCCCCTGAATGGTGCTGATTTTTCTAACAGAGCTTCCACAGCATCTTGATTCTTGATAGGTGATCACTGGTGGTCCCAGTAAAAATATCCCTACGGCTCGCGGCATCCGAGCACTCGCCGTTAGGATCCATTCAAGCCCCGAAGAACAAAGAAGGTCTTCCAGATCCCGAGTCCCTCCCGCGCATCCTCCACGACAAACGGATGGACCTCACGGCGTTATTGCGGCATGCCGTAGCTGTCGAGCGCGCCTTTTAATTGAATTATTAAGACGGTCGCTAATTTACGCACTAGCTCTAGATCTGGCCTACTTTGTAGTTTTCAGTAGGTCTTCTTTACCACCGTAAATCACGCACTGACACACGCCTATGGCGTGTGCTTGGAGAATCCATCACTCCGCGACGATGTACTTCCCTATGGGGCACAACGAGGCCTAATACCTAAGTAACTCTCTGCTTCCGTCATGGTGGAGCAGATACACGTGAATGAACGTGGACCTTCATTTTGGAGAACGTAAGTCGACTTCACTCATTCACTAAAATTCAATGAGACAGATCTTGAAGGGCGCTAATCACAGCCTCGAGGCTAGCGTGCGGCTCGCGTGTTGTACAAGAATTTGCCGAGTTTCAGGCGGAACACAATAGTGCAGGTGACACATTTTTTAAAAATAAATACTGTTTACTCTCGTAGGCGATATCCTGCGAAACAATATGCTTGCGGCATGTTTTCAGCAGTCTGGTGTAGCCCTCCCTGCGACCAATCGAGCAGGAAATTTATGCGACAGAGGTCACTGGTTCCTTGACCTGTTAAACCCTTCAAAACCCTTACCGATGATGAAGGATATTAAATGGTCCTAAAAAGACAACACTGGCTCGCTTTTTGTTTTTGCTTTGCTTTGCTTTGATTTCGACGAAACGTCATTGGCCCCAGAACAAGCGAGTTGTTGCATGACGACCGCCCCGGGTTACAACACTTCGAGACAACGTGATATGGATTGAATTGTCTCGTCACGAGTCTCGACCGCTTTTGCACTTTATCGACATCTACTTATTGTGGCACTAGCGTTTCTTGACAGATTATCGATTGATTTGAGTTTAGGGGAAAGTGGTGATAATACGGCGGGGTAGAAACACATCCCCGCCTATTGCTTCTATCCTTGGTGTCCGGCGCTGCCAGCGAAGTGCCGGATGTTGCCACCCAGTATGCTCTCATCCATCTTGGGATCACAATGATATTTGTCAGAGTGCGAGATTAATAGACCAAAGATCTCGGTTTCAATGTGGTACAGCCTCCTTAATTTTTTTTTTATTACACACATCACTATCCAGTGATGCGTCCACCTGGCTCACATGAGTTTTCTCAGGGCAGATGGCTGGCTGTTCGAAAGGTGACATATTGCTGCGCTGTGGCTGGATTTTTGCTACTTGTAAGTACCGCTCTGCATTGTTTTCAACGGGACCTTCCGGTATGCCGTGCGAAGACACATTAATATTACTTGTAGGGAACACATGGAGCGGGGCATAACCTCCCATTGGAAATCTCAATGGCGGATGATATGTGAGCGCTAGTGAGCTGCGAGGGGGTTCGACCTTTCCGGGAAAAAATATCATAGTCCTCACCACTTTCACGAAGGAATATACAAATGGGTTGCCTTCAAATACGTATGTCAAAACCGGTGTAACGCATCTTCCCGATCCATTTATAAAGGATATGTATTTAGACCGCGGTCGTAATATCCAACAAAACTGGGGCTAGGAAAAGGTTAGGAGGTACCGTAGTGCGGGTCCTCTCGAAATTCTGCTCCATATAGGTGCACAGAACAAGTAGAGTTATGTAGCCGGACAGGATTGTCGACTAAATTGATGAGTGTTCCATATCTCAAAAACTCTTGCGCAAAAAAAATCCGGACGGCGGGTTACACCTGGAGAAACCAATTAAATTATCTCATTATAGTCCGGCTCTCAAACGAATAGCGAGTTGTACAATATAGGGAATGGAATCGGTGATATGTTCGCCCAGACTTCTCAGGGAAAGACGCATGAACTACTGGTCACCGCTCTCTTTATGACCACCAGCGGCAGCTCTATATTCCTCTATATCCTGGTCCAGTTCAGCAACTGACTTTTTGGAAACATTTGACTTATTTATGCGTCGTGGGCCCTTCCTGCGGCGCCTTGATACGGCTTTCGTTCCAGCAGTCTGAACAGTGCGCGGTGACACTACAATTTTTTGAAGGGGCCTGAAAAATCGGATTCCATCATGAATCCAGGAAACCAGTTAAAAAGAATATCTTACACGGGCGAGACGCTTGTGTTCAATGTTTGACTCTGAGGAGCAAGGGGGCCACTTTTAGGAGTACCCGCGAAATTCCCGATGCGTCCTAGTAGCGAAGGAACTGCAGATGTAGGTGTAGACCGTGCAGACCCTGCGGCATCATCCGAATCAACAATTATTTCAATCTTTATTGGACGTCCTAGGCACAAAATCCATATAAACGGGCCGAATGGACCAGAGAAGCGAGTTTAAATTGCTTACTGCCGTCGATGAGTTTACCGTCATACTTCTCACGAGCTGCGGCTGCATCCCCTGGGCGCTGGAACGTTATTACCGCCATCCCTTTCGAGCGCCCTTGTGTATTGTATATCACGAAGCACTCCTTCAAAGGACCTATGGACTTCTTGAACAGTTCCTATGAACAGTGGCTTGTGGTCTGTGCTTTTCAGGTGGATGTTGGGATAACCACGCACTTCGACTTCTGTTTCTCCAACATCTACAGGGAGCCTGCTGAGCAGAATCTTGCTTCCTCGTTCTTTCTGCTTGTCCTTGCTGTCCCGCCATGCAGGTGGCACATTTCCAGCTTGGTTTCCGAGAAGATTCCGCTTTGCGCCATGGTAAGAAGTGATACGTACTTGAGGACGGTCTCGTGCAGACATGATATTCAAAAATCTAGTGATAGGCTGATAGCAAACTAGAGGAGGTACACACTGCAAGGTCAAGTCGCGTCGACAAAGAACGCGAGTCGTTAATAAAATGTATTACATAATAAGCGGAGGGGTTAATGTAATATGAAAATAGACTTGGGGGGTTGTTAGTGTGTGATTGAAAGATTAGATTTTCCATTTTTGCTTTTGTCCTCTGTCCTGGAAAGTCGACAGCTGTTCCTAAATTCGCCGTTTTGTCCTTCTGTGACACAGACGATCCCGAAAAATCTTTGCAAGTTTTCTGTATTACACCAGGAAATGGATTCAAGTCGTCAAGATAACAACTTGAACCTTCAGAAGGACTTCTTGGCCTTTCTGTTTCCGGAATCTTCCTCTGACCAACAACGAGGCCATGACTCTCAGCAGAACGAAGTTATGAACGCAGCTGCTGTGCATGGTCAACGATCGAATTCTGGGATGCTCAACTTTACCGGAACCGTCAACCCTCCTCCTTTCAATCAACAATTAGATCTTATGGCTATGAACAATCTCATGTCTATGCAGGGCATGGACAGCACGTCACTTCCGGCCTTGCCCAGTTCCACGAGCCTCACCCCTCAGGTCATTTTTGAACAGCAGTACAAGCTTACTCAGCTGCACCAGCTGCAGCAGCTTCAAAATCAAATTCAGAATCAAATTTTTCAGCAGCAGGTGAGTCAATACCCCTGTTCCGTCACACGCTCCCACTTTGTCTGGTGCAGATGCACAACAGCGTGATTTGAACATCGTGCTGAAGTATTATCTTTATCAGCTCGCCCTTATCAGTGGACAATCAGCCTTGAATACGCATGATACCAGCGTCGAGCCCGCAAGGGATCAGATTGCATCGTTTAGTGGCCTTCCGACTCCAAGTGAGATTCCTTTGGTTTACCTCCAGATTCCACCCTCATCATCATCGTAGTGTCTTCCACGGAGCTACGCCCTTTGCCCAACCCAGAGTTCATCGACCGTATTGGCTCACAATACTCCAATCCTCCTCAGGACGTGTACTCGTCGCATACACTTGACCCTGTTTCCCTTCCCTCTCCCCATGACGTTTCTGTCTCCCCGCAATATCTTCGCGACACGCGCCATCCAGGTTCTAGCTCTGCACCTGCCAACATAGTATTTCATCACATGAGCCCTCCCATACCTCCTCCAGACCTTGACATCGACATTTCTCCGTTGACGAGCCCCTGGCTTGAGGCATACCATAACCAACGTTCCCCAAATAAGCGCACGATATCACCAAGTGCAGAAGATGCGGCGCGTGCGGTGCGAAAGCGGGGACCCTCCACGGCTTCCCCGACGTCAATCAGCGAAACAATCCATAAGGCATGCCAAGAGCGCGACAAATACCCCTCTTTTACGCTCCACCAAAACTCGCAGGAATAGCACCATCATGGAAACAGATTCACCGTCACCTGTCGACCTGTCGATGCCGCCCCCCGCGCCTCCAGGACCTCGCCGATCTCCTTCCAATCCTGCAGCACCGAGCACTCCTGAAGCGACATCGCCAATGACTCCGGTCACTCCCGCAAGCATAATGAATCTTGGCCGTCTGGGTATTAGCAGTAGTCTCACTACTGCCGCAGCACCCACATCCCAGAAAGCTGATAGGGTGAAAGAACCAGCCAGGGCCAGGATAGCGCCTGATAGCAGTGCACCAAACAAAGGACTCAGGAAGGGCACACTGCCGTACATCAGTCCTGGTCCTAAGCTGATCTTACCAGGTGCGCTCTTGTTCTCAATTTCATCGAAATGTTGGTGTGAAATTCTGTTCGTGTTAACAGCTGGCACGCCATCATCCGTAAATGCGGGCTCTTCTGCACTCTCACCTCCTGTTCCTAATCGCAAGTCGCACAAGGACGCTGAACAAAAACGTCGTGATTCGCTGAAGACTGCATATGACGATTTGCGTATTTTGCTCCCACCAGTTCCGCTGCCTTCCGATGAGAACTTTCCTGATGAACCGATCCTTCCGGGTGCTTTACCCCCCAGAGGACCACCAAAAGCTGGTGGGGATGGTCCAAATAAAGCTGTCAGCAAGCTTCAGCTGCTCAGATGCGGGAACGATTTTATTCGAACGCTCAAAGGTCGGGTAGAGCGTCGAGATAGCGAAATAGAGAATCTGAGGAAAGAGGTGTTGAGACTGCGTGCTATTGCTGGAGATGCTGCTGGAGAGGAACACATAGATCTTGAACGGGATCTGGATGCCATTGAAGCTTATTCGACTTTCCGCTCATCGTCACTAGGTGCGGTTGCGGAGGGTGACGATGCAGACGATGGTGAAGAGTGAAGGGTAGGCTGCTGGTCTATGCCAACTGATTCCCTCGTCAAAATATGTATAGTATATAGTTATTGTTTCTAAACAGAGGTTTAATCGAGTGGACTATCGGCTGGAACAGCAATCAAACTACTTATAAGTCAGGTGTGCAGCCTAACCTCGGGGAATACAATCCTTTTGCAGGCAGGAGACTATTTCTTTGATCGGCGACCTTGCTAAATTAAAACAAGGTGATTGACCGCGAAAATCCTTCGGAAAGACCCGCCTCAGTCGTGGGTTTGTAACTTTGAGCCATGCATGTTAACTCCAAGCGTCTCTCAGTTCAGGCACCAAGCAGATAAGCCAACCCTGCTTACGTAACGACATTAAGTGGGAAGTTTACCGTCTGCTCAGTCCCACTTCACAGGACTAGTTGTCACTCTCAGATTCATCATGTCTGTGCACGCTGCACGTAGCCCGCTGTAAGTAAGGCTCTGTTATACCAAAGATGCGTTTAACATTCACTAGATCTGCTGTATTCTTGCTGCATATCGCGTTGGAGGCACCGCTGGCCCTCCAGGCGTTCTGGTCCCCACAGAGCCTTCCCTTTCTACAGATGAACAACACCACGGTGGTTATGCTGAAGGTTTGCCTATCTCAAGATTCATCATGCGTATAGCTATTTACACCACCCAGTTGTATTCCGCGTTGGTCACTGGATCCTGCATTACCGCTTTCCTGGCATATCCTTTACCAGGTATCATCCGCGCGCTGCTTCAAGAAATATGAAGCGAATAACATTTTCCAACTAGAATTTCTTCCGGGAAAGCGTGCACTCGCAATAGGATTCTGCGTTTACCACAGCGTAGTATCAACCATTCTGTTTCAGACTCCCAGGTTCATTCCCCATACCCTAGGCCCCTTCTTAGAGTCGTGCGTGTTCTTTTACTTGTTTTCTTAAGGTGATTCGAATGACCACCTTATAGCGTGAATCTCACACCTGAGGTTGTATGGGGTACATTTCACGGTCTGCTGGGACTTGGGATGGTGGTGTGGTGGCAAGCAACGTTACATTACGCAGGAGCAGTGAGAGGAGCCACGCAGTAAGCTCTGACATAGAAGGAACAACTGTTTTATTTGTGTAATACTTGGTCTGTTGTCTAGGGGAGACTACCCAATACTTGTAGTGCACTATTAAAGAGCCAAGCGGATATGGTTGCATGAGCGCCTCAAAAGTGTGTCCCGTTTAGCTCAGTTGGTAGAGCGCGTCACTAGTAATGACGAGGTCAGTCGTTCAAGTCGGCTAATGGGAAATCCTCAGCCCAGCATTTACTTGCCCAGCTGAGTTTCTTTTTGGTTTTATTCTCCACTGAAATACATAACAATACTAAGTACTATTTTGATGGCCTCATGACTGATGTGAGATGCGACGGCGACCAAAGGAAGCTCCAAAGAAAAATCCGCAGCAGCTCATTGCTTCACAAGAAACATCTCCCACCCCAGCAGCAGTGCACCTGCACCTTGCGTTGTGGTCGGGTGTCCTTGAAACACTTGTATCCCTGACGCAGCCTAAGATTGACCTGTATGCGTTTCCGTCGGTGTACCAGAATGGTCTAGCGCAGGTCGTCGGGAGTGCCAGGGGTCCTGGCGCAGTAAGTAGCAGAAGTCCTGGCCCGTGGTCGGTAGTCCTGCGCTTGTGTCGTAGTCAGTCCTGGATAGAGAAAGCCGTAGCCTCTCGCTATAGAGGTCTGGCCTTGGTTCCCCTTTCAGTCCTTCCTGTTCCATCGGGCGTTCTTGAGACACTTGTGTTCCCGACACAGCTCCTTGCATCGAATTATCAGCCTCAATGCAACTCGTATGTTGCACACCTAATATGCAGCTGCTGCTGCGCGGGCCAATTCTGTTGCGGTGGGAGGAGAAACAAAAATTCTTTGCAACTGTATTAATTTCCACCATACCAAAAAGGAGCGATGGAAGCCGCTTATATTTTCTTGCAGCCGGCAGCTACTTCAACAATGCGTGGATTTTCCTCTTGGAAATAAGTTGAAATTCCAACGCCGGGGCTTGAGCGGTACTGATCGTGGCAGATTTTGAGGTCGAGTGCTACAACGCAGCGAAAGGTAGACGATGAGCAGTTGGTATCAGAAGTCGTTGCCTTATACCACTTGTCAGACTTGCGAGAGCTTCAGAACAAAAACTGCACTGAGATATCTCCACAGGCCTCTCTTGATAGGTTGCTGCTTGCAGACATGACTAGCATACAAGATCTGACAAAACGTCCCTGGTAGAGAAGTGAGATACAGCACAAGAGGGAAACGCAGACGACTTGCCTTCAGCTTTGCATCGGCTTGTGCATAGGCTTTGCATTGCTCTCATCCACACTCTGAAAGGCAACGGAGAGCCACTTATAAATGACAATAACAATGAATAAACACACTCACATGACCGTTGTCGGTAGTTTTGAGTGCTGCATCTAGGCGCCATACATATATATTTCCATCCAAGGGAGGGCACCATTAAAGGACGTGGAAACAGCCCAAAGTTCGTCGTCGTGCAAGAGTGGGTCTCCGACTGGCTGATTGATCTTGAGGTTCCAGATGCGAACTGAGTAGTCAGTGCTGCGCCAAAACGATGGCTCTCAGGGGAAAGATGGAGGGAATTGACAGCATCGACATAGCCCTGAGAAACCACGAGCTCCTTCCCATCAATCGACCGCCATTTGTGGATGGTGCCATCATACGACACGGAGAAAATGTGTACACAGTCCTCGGACCAACACAACCGGACAATTCCTTGCCTTCCCAAAGTACATCCTGGTGATACTGTGCACCACATGGTGGCGGATCCTTCTCCTTCATCTGACGGGGTGCACTAACTACCGGTGAGTTCAACATCGCCTCTTGTTTTCTATCTCTCTGTGTTGTCGGTGTGCTTGACTCGGCCATGACGCTGACGAAGAAAGTTTAATTATGCTGCCTGTACAGACGCGTGAACAGAGCTCGATATTACGGACAGTGGATTTTTGAAGGCGAGGAGAAATGTGGTGAAGGTGATACTAGAATTGCCTGATGAAGCTGGAAGGAATGATATGAAGTGGTGCCGTACTGTTACTACTGTAATTTTCGGTTAAGTACAAGGCCGTGGGAGATAAGATAAGTGACTGCGTAATTGGATATCGACCTTTCCTCGAGTGTACCAACGCCAATCCCCATCAGGCGAGGTAGTACATATATCCAACCAAAGTAATTGAAGCATCGAAGAATGGCGGCACCCCTCTACACAACAGCTTCAGGGTTGCTGTTTCATGCTGGAAAGATTCTCATCTTAACAGTTGGCTTACCCGCTCGTGGTAAAACACACATTTCTCGCGCGCTCGAACGTTATCTCAGATGGATGGGCGTGAAGACTCAGGTCGTATCTCTGGGTGACTATCGACGGAAGACCCTTGGTGGTGCCAAGAAACTGCCGCCAGATTACTTCACGTTAGGTGCGCATACATTCAATATTCTAAGCCCTGTATGAATTGCTACCGGCAACAGGCGAGAAGAGTCCAGAGACCATGGCATTGCGCAAGATGGTGTCGGATGGCTGCGAAAAGCTCATCGAGGACTTCTTTGGGGCCGGTGGACAGGTCGTGATTTATGATGCCAATAATGGCTCACGAACTACGCGGCAGGCCTTGGCAGAGAAGTACGATAAGCAGGGAATTCATGTGATCATCCTTGGTATGCCTCACCATGTTCATTGGGAAACAGTCGCTTATTTTCCTTCGATGTAGAATCTGTGTGCGATAACAAAGAGATTATAGAGACCAATATCCGGAACGTCAAGATATCCTCTCCTGATGTGAGCTCCCTCACCTTCTCGGCTACCTTTTTGCTGAATATGGTGTAGTATCGCGGCTGGGATCCAGACAAAGCAGTGGAAGATTACTATGAACGAATCCGTGATCGCGAAAAATCGTACGAGACGGTTGAAGAAACCACTTGGCCATTTATTCGTATAATAAATGTGTGTACCATGTATACGAATCCTCTTTCAATTTTTTGCTCACCCGCACGGCTGAATTAGGTAGGCGAGAAGATCATGGTCAACGTAGGTCCCGACGCACTTTCATTTTGGTTGACCTAATTAATCCCTGCGCAGAACATTCGTGGTTATTTGCAGGTAGGCGAAGATTTAAAATCGGTTTTCGAGGATGACTGATCCTATGAGTAGTCGCGAATCGTTTTCTTCCTCATGAATATCCACAACAGACCCCGCATGATCTACTTTGCTCGGGTAGGTAGTAAAGTATACTATAGCTGTCACTTGATCCATAATATCCTGACAGTCTGGACAATCACTCATTGAACATTCTTACAAAGCCGACTCAGATCTTTCTCCTGCTGGGTGGGAATATTCTGAGCGGCTGAAAGAGTTCGTGGTCGAGCGGCGTGCCAAATCGCTCGAGCAGAATGGGTTCGACCCTAATGATAGACGCCTAGTTGTATGTGGCCTTCGATCTTTATTGTACGGATTCGTTTTAAGACAGCTCACTAGATATGGACATCAACTCGGCGTCGTGCCCATCACACCGCTTGGCCATTCCTGACCCCAACACACTCCACTTCAATTCCGCAACAGCTCCCTCTTGTTACCTCTCATCTCACTATACCACCACAGTCTGCGATTGCACGGAATGTGTTAACCACTGACGAAGCTGGAGAGCTGACAGAAACAAAAGTCACGACTGGCTCGTCTTTGAAAATCAAGGTGATCGAGAAGACGCAGATGTGCGAGATCAATCCTGGGGTCTGGGACGGCCTTACTCCCGATCAAGCGAGAAAGTTCTACCCCGAGGAGTGGGCAAGATTCGTCAAGGATCCATACGCATTCCGCGCTCCCAGAGCTGAGAGCTATCACGATTTATCTGGTAATACTACTTCCTCTTGTATATATATGTGTGTAATCTTTGTTCTGAAAATCTGTTTGGGCTTTAGTTCGCCTGGAACCCATCTTGATTGAATTGGAACGTGAAAAAGAAGACCTCTTGATTATCGGACACTCTTCTGTCATCCGATGTCTTCTCGCGTATCTGATCGGGTTGCCTGCGAGCGAGATACCTGCAATTGAAATTGCGAGAGGTGACTTACTGGAAGTTGTTCCGACTTCCTACGGTGTGCACAGCCAAGCTTTCCACTTCTGGGATGGTCCTGGTCGACGGGGAGAAGGCATCGACGGAGATGGCGACCAAGAGGAGGTTGGGCTGTCAAGGAGAGATGAAACAAACTTTTACGAGAATTATGCGGAGGACACGAAGGGAAAAAAGAGAATGAACGCTGTGGATCTAGGGTTCCTGTCCCCTCGTATGCAGGAAGGCAGCGAAGAGGCCCTGGCAGATGGAACCTGACTCGCACCTTGACAGTTTTAGCAATTTCTCAGGGCTGTATACTACTACATATCAGTATCAAATAGATTGCTCCACGCCTCCATCGACATGTTCGAATGATGTTGAGCTGTTCCGGCCGCGCATTTCACTCACTTACTGTACTTGAACTTCTCTGCAGGGAATATAGGATCAACACAGGGGAATTAAACCATGAGTCAACTGGCTGTAATTACCGAATGAATTGAAAGAAGTCGGCGTAACGCGGTTAGTTTCCCCTTGTGGCCACAACTCGCCAGAGCTTTATCCGAATAACGATATATCAATGTTCAACGGCACCCCTGCCATGAACGCAAGGATCTATTTTATGAAACCACGTCCGGACCAAATCGTAGACATCACTTTTCGAGAAACCTACCCACCACGTACCGTTCAATTACAAAAAGTGGTGAATGATCTCCACACACGCGATATTTGGACACGCAACATCCTGCCACATTTTCTCTCAAACCCGAAACCCGGGCGCATATGGGCGTAAGCAAATATCCTTGATTTAGATACCGGCGCACCCTCATACTTTTCCAAGCTCAATTTTGGGTCCCTGTATAACAGGAGGTCACACGCCGTTATCTGTAATAGGTCTTTCACGCCACTCCCTGCTTAGTGGGATGCAGGCAGGAGATGACCTCTCCCAGTTGCCCTGGGTGGGTGTCATTGCCTGCGAGCATCCCCAGGCGCCTTGGCCTGATACTAATAGGGCAAACTGCTACCGTCGTCTGATATCAATTTGCCAGCGGAAGACACGAGACACGGGTGAAAAACTCGATTTCTTGATATCTTCGCATGGGCCGAAGTTCAAAGCATTCTGGGTGAACTATGAAGGAGAGGAAGTTCATCTGGAACAGATCGGAAACCCATATGTCCCGAAGGGAGTTAGGTATGCTCCAATGGACGTTGTGGATGATGGTAGATTCCTCGGATTCGTGATGAGAAATTTGAAGGTGGTGTCTGCTATTCACAACTTCTTACCTGAGGCAATCCCAAGTTCTACCTTGACACGAGGCGCTACCCAAGCTCCCATTAAATAGGTATTGCACAAAGTGTTCTCCAATACAATGTATGACAAGCATCCGCACAGCACATGGATACCACCGTTTCCGACAAGGACCTACCTCGTTCTCCAACTATGATGTCAACACGGAAATTCAGAGTGAAACAGGAATGTTTCTGCAGCGCCACGGACGATAGGAAAAACGCCGACCGGGGTGGACGCAAGAATGATTGCTGTGTAAATGAAGAAAACGTTGTTAATGAATTCATACCCTTCGCGACTTGCACTCGATCTGCATACCCACAATTTATCCACCATCATGGCGCATGGCCAATCAACTTTGGCACGAAGTCCCTCTTTTCCTGGGTAGGGCACAGCGCACAGAAGTCTTCTTTATCCGAGCATACCGCGGACACGCCGAAAATGTCGATTGGAATAATCATGCGTTCCTCGTCAGGAAGTTCTTCTTATATGTCATCGTACACTGTGATCCACTTCCGAGTCACGCTTTGGGATCGAAGCAATATTTGTAAGACAAAGTCAATATGAATCCCGAATGAGCTCGTAACCATGATCCCGGCCATGTCCTCATAGGTTTTTGCGATCAGGGAATGCTGCCGGGTAATGTTTCTCCGCGAACTAGATAAGCCGATTACTAGACTGCATCGCCGAGGTACTGGACATGAGGTTGCCTTTCTGGACGGACGAGTTCGAAGGCGCTAGGCCAGTCGCGTGAAGATATAAACAGCTGGAGCGGTGTTGGCAGTCACTTGGAAAAGAGCCTGTGAGGGTCTTTGGTTCGTCGGTTCACCCCGCCGTTTCCTCATCTCTAACTGGGATTGAAAGAGATGGTTTTGGGTAGGAGCTGTTAGGCACAAACTCACTCGCAGATTGGCAGTGCTTGAGTCATCGAGTGACAATAATCCCGCAGGTGCCGAGTGGGAGGGAAGAAGAGTCACGGTTGCTAGTAGTTAATTCAGCCCTTCGCACTTTGTGACAAAGACTCACAATGAGTGGTCAGGACCGTCTATACCGATTTCAAACTGGTACATTTTCATAAGTAGCTCGAGAGGAGAGCGCGTAGAGAACTCGCGTGTCCATGGGCCTGGACCATCGAAGCAATGATTGACTTTTGAGTTCCAAATTTACGACTTCGTGGGAGTCGGAGCTCGATGTTCTCATTTTGCAAGATGCATCACTAGTACGGCCGCAAAGCGCACCTTTGTAATTAAACGAAAGAGGGCGGATCTAATTCTCGTCACTGCCGCAGTAGGATCGGTATACAGCAGCAGCATTAACGACGAAGTGGGCTACTATACTCACTTCACTCTGTCTGGACTGAGTAGTACAGCCTAGCTCACACCTTTCCGAATTCGCCCCGCAATGTACTTTTTACGAGTTCAGCAAGACCGGCTTGTAGTTAGCATGCATCATAGTTAGCATGTATTCATGTACAGTATGTCATAATCATAATATATAGTAAGGGTAAAGCTGCAACGATTCAAAATACCTAGAAAGAAAACAAATAATGTAACATATATATCATCCAACGACTCACCCGGAGCCTAAGTGAAGTTGTAAGTTTCATCAAGATGGTTGATACAATATTCGAGCAACTCTTCCGACGTCATATTGTCCATTGGGTGAACACCACTCTTTTCTGGGCTGTCGGTAGACTCTTCCAACTGCTTGTCCGAAGCCGAATCGACAGTTTCTTCGAAATTCTTCTCGAGACTGTTGGCAAACTCGTCCAACCGCTCGTCCGAAGCCGAATTGATAGTTTCTTCAGGATTGTTGACCGACTCTTCAATCTGCTCACCAGAAACTGGTTCGCAAGCTGCTTCAATGTCGAAAAAATCGTTGAACCCCTCGTCCCAACCTGAATTCGTAGTCTCGTCGAGACTGTTGTCGGACGTTTCCAACGACTCGCTCGAAGTCAAATCGGTAGTGTCTTCAAAACTGTTAGAAAAAGGTTTGAACGGCTCGCTCGAAGTCGAACCTTCGCAAGTTCCTTGAGATATCCCGTAAGTCTCTTGCTGGTTGTTGGAATAAGATTCGCCTATATTCAAAAAGTCCCCGTCGTTTACACTAGCAAAATTTCATATATCAGCTCCAAAGTCACATTTCAAAGCCTTGTAGTACTTACGCCTCGTAATATTCTAGGGATGGGGACCGAGACCTGACCTGCGGGTGCTTCTTCGATTTGATATGATCTTGTATGCCAGCGCGTGGCACTGCAGGTACGTTTTCGCACTGCGACAGGCAGCACTTGTAACGGACCTCGCCGTTGTTTTCGACCAGTTCCTGATGAAAAGATTGTCAGCATAATAGCTAGAACTAAGTACAAAATGGACTCACGAAATCGGGGTGGTCAACAAGCGTTTGCTTTTTTCGTGGGGGAGCATCATCGTCATCCAAGTCCACCGCCTTGCGCTTTCCGCGCTTGACAGCGCTTTCCTCAGCGTCAGCTACTGGTGCTTGTTCCTCCGGTCCTTGCTCCGAATGCGTGTCGTGGGAAGGTTGTGCCAAGGGGGGTGCGGAAGGATGTTGAAGCGGCGCAGCCGCTGGCGGTACACCCATACCCTGGAAGGCGGGGGGATACCCACCCAAATGGTGTGGAGGAGGGGGAGGGGGAGGGGGAGGGGGAGGGACTGGGTTTGGCGGTCCAGGGACTTGGCCAGTTGCGTGTAAATATTGTTGATAACAATATACGTAGACCTCTGGGGGGTAAGGCCTGAATCGCGAGGGCACAAGTGGAGGCTGGGGCATCATTTGGGGGTAAGGATTAAACCCAAGTTGAGGCGGGCCTTGGACTGGCACTTGACCCGTTTGAATCGGCTCTTGGTGCATAATTGATTATCTAGAATAGTTGAGATGAAGTGTGTATGGCGCGAGGCTCCAGCCTGTGGCAGGACGAGGTGAGTGACAGAAGGTGAAGTAAGTGTACAAGAGTAACTCACAGTACACAAGTTAGATGGTAGATGCGGAAGGCAAAATGCGATGGATGTTGAACAGGAGGAAAGAGACGCAAGTTGCAGTATTTAAACTGTTGAAGCAACCACTACTAGGTGATGGACCGTCGCGCTTAGTCTTAACGTGTCTCTTTGTTGCGTTGTGGTCAACAGATTGTTACCCCGGGCCAAGCAATGCATCCACTGACCTTGATTATGACAATAGTATGACACGCAGGCCACCCGGATATTCCCCGACGCGACTGTGGATATGTTTAAATGGGTATTTATTCATAATCATTGAACACGGCACATTAAATATTATTGAATCGAGGGTATTCTCCCTTTGGCTGGGTATGTTCTTCGTGTATGTCCTCCTGGCGTTATCGACAGACTTAATATTGCCATCTGAAATTGTATATTCAAAATCTATCGACAAAATCCATTAATATAAACACATCGGACAGCAAGCCATAGTCATTAATACTAACGATGTAGGTATATGGCCAACCACCAATAGAAGGCCGCGTCTCCGGGTTGTCGGGCACACTCCACCGAGACATTGGATGCGAATTTCACACCTTAGCAACTCATGCAACCACTCTCCCCTCACAAAATAGTGGGTCCTTTAGTAAGCACCTCGCGTTACAGTCTCGCGTATGCTCACTACATCCACAAGTTATCTGCGTCCGAGGAACATGTCAGACGTCAAGGGACTATGTGAGCGAAAGTAATAGACGCACCGTTAAGTCAAATACGCCAGTCTCATGGATCGCCTCACAGATGTCCTATAAGGCCACCACACACCTGCGGGATTTTGGTGAGTGCTGATTATTAACTTCACATTTATTTCACTTGGAATAGATTGACGTAGGAAGACATCGTCTACCCGTCGTGGATACTCCTACAACAGACTGAAGTCTTTGTGTTAAATTCCAAGTCCCAATGGAACGGGATAAACGATGTATAAAGGATCTGCATAAGCCAACGTGCTGTGCCCGTGTGTAGTGAGTGTCCGCAGTATCAGACTCAGGATACATGGTGAATAATCGTGACCTTCGAAACACATTTGCATCGGAAGAGATGCAACACTTGGGTCGAGCGCGTCAACATCAAAGCTCAGGTGAATACGGCGATTGACATAGTTGAGTGCCATCTTGACCACTACCGTCACCGAGTCAACACCTGCGCCCGTCCCTATGAAATACTCGACGCACCAATCAACCTCGGAGACATTGCAAGGTTCGCTTCCGAGAATATAGCCTTGTCCACGTCCTGCAACTTGATGAAGATAAAAACCAGTTCAAACTTCGCGAGGACGGAGGCTGGGATGGATGAAGCACGAGGGATCAAAGTTGAGGAGAATTCAAGTGCGTTCCGTTTATATCTCCTCTGAGTGGATTGAACTATGTCTATATATATTAGCATGGGCGTCTATCAGACGATTATTCTCTATAGTCAAATATCAGTTCTGTGGAAGGAGTATTGTCTAAACGGAGAAATTTACCTCACGGTGACTGAGACAGTGCCGAATCAGGTGCATTTGACGACTCGTGAAGTCTTTGTTCATGGAGGCGAGATGCAATATTTCTTCAGTAACTGACTTACAACGGCTACATATCGTTCCATCTACTGGACTACCACGTGTAGATAGAATAGTCGTTGAGATCACACCTTGGGACCGCTAACACTTTTCGAACACTCCATGTGAAATTTGTAGTGGAGACGGATGAGTTGGGAATGTTTTGTGCAGTGAGGACGCAGTTCCGAGTCAAATGGAGCGTCCTTCTACACTTTGTCTCTTCAAACTCCGACAAATAGTCTCGTTGACCCGTGCGCGTACCGTCATCAGAAACACTGACAAGGCTTCCTGTATTCACATGACAATGAGAGCTTGCCCTTGTTATTGCGTGGTGTCTATGAGGGAAGGCACGCAGTGAGTCACTCTATTTCGTACTTAAAGTTTTGAAAACGGATTTCAAGTGCAAACGATTGACAAACAATGTTATGATCGGCGTGGCGAGTAAGTGAACGCTGTTTATGATCACGTCGAACCACACAGTGGAATCGATAACGTCGACCGTCGCAATATCAATAGAGAAAATTGCAGGTATGTGCATCTCACAATTTCATTAAACAACTCTGCTAATAGAGCGACCAGACAGTTATGCATAACATTATGTTTTAAGGGCAGCCTGAGCCATCCATCCCAACAAAAATACTCCAATCATAAACTTTTCCCCAAGCCAACACCTTTACTAGTGCTACTAGCATTTGGCATACCAGGAAGCGATAACTCGCAAGCACAACTGCCAGTGGTACTATGACTCTTAGTGCAATTTATCCAGAGCATCAATTGGAATGCAGCGTAGAAGAAACTGACTCAGAACAAAAGCACATGCATATACGAGCCGTCTACATACAACATCTTTCCTCCAAGTTGATCACAGCGAAGAGTTGTATTCGCGACGTCCAGGGTCGGTGCAACCTACAACCGACTCAGTTGCTACTGCGGGTCGTCATGGAGAAACTCTGCGCCATCGATTATCAGCATGACCCTTGGTTGTAGGTTGACAGAGCTCATGGGGGTTTACTTGGTAGAACAAAGTCTCACTGGGACGTGATACGCAACGCTGAGGTAGCTGAACTAAATTGTTAAGTATAAAATGTGAAGGTGTCCAGTAAAATAGAAAGATGCCCAAGGCCGGTAGCGTGTTGAACGAAGAAAAACTGTTGGGCTTGCCAACGATAACCGGTGTGGAATGTTGGGGCTAGCAGAGCCTGAACATTCAAAGTTGAGCACATTAATCGTCACACGGACTCCAGGGACACTTTACATAAATTGACCTGAACGACCATGTCCGGTTCCCGCCCACTACGTACACCTAGTCTTCCACCAGCAGCACGCTACCGTCCACGTCCAGCGCATGGCCTTATTACACCGCGCGCGCCAGCACCTCGACGCACCTCTGTTTCGGGACTCGCCACCACCGGCCAGAAAGCTCAACGGTCTTCCAAGACCACACAAAAGCTTGTCCTTTTACCCTCTGCACCACAAACAAAGCCTCTACTAACAACCGTTTCCGATGATATCCTCGGCTACGAGACCGATACCGGTGTCATTCGTGAATACAAGTCAGCTGGCGAGCGCATGAGCAAGGAACAGAGAAAGCGAGCAGGATACAAGAGAATTACAGCGTATTGTATTGCTGAAGAACTGAGGATGAAGTTGCTCGCGAGCTTTTTGAAGAGGGAGCATAATGTTACACCAAGAGCGTTTGACGAGGCGATGTATGTTGTGAGTCTCGTGTTGTTCATTTCCGTGTCAGTGTTCCTGATCTGCGTCATGTAATTTGTCCTGGTGTCATATAGATGTATCACCTGCCGCTCCTTCCTGGGTACGGGCCTAACACCAGCGTCCGTTCTTCCGCCGCCCCTGTCAAAGAAGCCAAGTCTCTCCAGAAACGCCTTGCTGAAGCTGAGGAAAATGGCTATCAGGGTTCATACTTTATCCCTCAGGAAGACGTACCACGGACCTCGGACGGATACATGACGTCTGGATCCCATACGGAATCTCACCGACCCCCGCCTCGTCCTGATGTGGAATCTGAGGCTGAAGGGGAAGCGGAGTATGCTGAAGAGGGTGAGGGTGAATGGCATGGTACAAACGAGAGAAATCAGGAATCGAAGGAGAGGGCAGAGGACAGGAGACACGAGCAAGTCGAGGTGAAAGAAGAAGACCGTATCGCGGACGTGGTCTTCTTTGCTTATGGCGTTGTTGTCTTCTTTGGACTAGACGAGGGACAAGAACGGGCTATTATCGAGGACATTAGTAATGCAAGTATTTTGAAACGACCAATGAAAGAAGATGACTGGGAGATTGAGGAATGTCATTTTGCGGTATGTCATTATTTTGTAACCTCTACAGCTCCTCACCTGACGTTAACTAGCATGACCCGACGATTTCATATCCTCGCATATATCACGATTTCTTCAGTACGTTTTCAAACCGTGTCTTATGAGCCCTACTAAAACACAGTAGCTTTCAAGTCGCCTTCTCATCTGCTCAAACTGTCCGTTGCGCATGCCCTCGCCCAGTCTACGCTCCTTGCACACTATGAGTCTGTCGCCTCTTCCGTGCTTTCATCCCCTAGCACCGTATCCATACCACGACAGCTCGCTTCTTCTGGTGCTATCAACCTCAAACGCCGTGATGCGATGAGGCTCACAGGCAAGCTATTCAAGCTCAGACGCGACGTAAATCTCGTGAGCAATGTCTTGGACGTTCCAGAATTGTTCTGGAGCGAAGCAAGTCTGGGAGGGCTGTATGAAGCTGTACGAGAATACATGGAAATTGATGAACGCGTACAAGTGCTGAACGAGAAACTCGGAATGGCGAGCGAATTTGTGGGTGTTTCATTGCAATTTGGCTTGAGAAGCAACTGATGGGTTTTTGTTTTCAGCTCGACTGCTATACATGATCACTTGAACAACAATGCAATGGAACGAATAACGTGGATTGTTATTTGGTGAGATCTACTACGGTGTTAAAGTTGAATGATTCACCCTGACTGGTTCCTCGAAGGCTGATTGTGGTCGCGCTTCTCGTGGAGTTGGTGAGTCGCTTACACTCCAATCCGTGAAAAATAAATAACTATGACTATACCACAGGGCGAAGTCCTCGCACGACTAGTCGTACATGCAACAATGGGCGAAGAGAAGGCGGACCGCATAGTATTGCGGGGAGGAGGCGCGCTCAGAGCCCTTATCAAGATTGCGTCACAACGATAGGTCAAGATGTGGTTATGGTATCATTGCGTTGGTTTCTGCAAGACTCATCATACAAGGATAGACCCAGGTCATTCATTGGAACGGTATGTAGCAACGAGTTTGTAATTTCAATTTATAGTAATACCTCGGTCTTCAATATCACTCGGATCTTGGGTTTTTACATTTTTCGCTCATTGCAGCTCTCAGCATCACATGCGGCCTCTAGACTTATCACCCAAGCGTTGTCTCGCCGTCACAGGTAGGTGTCTAGGTCGATTTTTCTTGAGAGGAATCGCATGTGCACTACTCCTCTGCCACCGCGAGTATTTGGCTTTATTTGGACGCACCCTACAGACACACTCGATTTGAAATTTGAATCTTGACTTAACCCCTGAGGAACACAAACACTTGGTCGACTCAGAAGAGGTAGGTCCATACTCCAGTGATTAAGATTTCTGTCTCATTAGGATTCTACTATCAGTAGTCAACGGCAAAATGACACAGCGCTCCTTTCAATCGCTTCCTACAGAGACGATGTGCAGTATCTTCAAGATCATACTTGAAAGTATGGTCGAAGATGATATGACGGCGACCCCTAAAAACGAGCACCGTATGCTCGCAAGAGGCCTGCCGTTCCCTCACACCGTGGCTTTGGTGTGCAAACGCTGGCGAAACATTGTGTTTTCTATGCCGGAGCTGTGGACTCGGATATCCTGGGCACCGTCTACGAACGACCAGTGGGTAAGCTCCCAGTTACAGAAGACAGGGAGTCACCCAGTCCATTTTGTAATAAAAGATAAATTCCTGGGCAGAATTTTTCCCCCATACTTTACTTTATTATATCTTCAACGACTCAAGAGCCTCATAATCACTGGCGTCTTCGATGAATACCGCAACTTGGACGCGCTAGCGGGATATGCGCCCCAGCTCGACTGTTTACGATTGACAGATGTTAGACGTCATCATTATACCATTGGCTTGGAACCGTGTTCAAAACTGGTGTGTCCCGCCCTCAGGACCCTTCACATCGACAAGAATATAGCTTGTCACCTCAATCTCCAGTGGTTCAAGAATAACATGCAACACGTCGAGGTCCTGACCATTTACGGCGGCTCTCCGATCAATAGAATGGCATCCATGACGCTTGGTCAAACCTTGCAGGCAATACCGCGGCAAATACCTTGCCTCATTCTCGACGACCTGCAGTTTGTCATTGCCTATCCGGGAACCTACGCCGACGCAATCACAATTTGGGCAGAGAAAGTCATCCTGCGCAGATGCATCGAAGACGCTCTAACTGCATTCAGTGGTGAATGTCAAACCATCGTTCTCCAGGAATGCGATTCTATCCATGGACTTCGTCGCCTATCGCTACCCCGCTCAAATTCATTGGAGTTGGATAGGTGCGCTGCCACACGCGGCTTGCGGTGGATACCTAAAACACGCCCGTGGCATGGTGATACTGTTACCATCGTGAATAGCCATTCCTCGTGCATCAAGATCATCTTTTATTTCCTCGGTGCACCTTTCGCTCGTCGTAACTGTTCCCTGTGGCCCCGTGTCACCACGTTAAACCTCATAGCGAGGGATGATTTCGTCATGGAGTTACCTTTGATGATACTGAAGGCAATGGTCAGCAGCCGGAGGGAGGCTGCGGGGCAGGAGAATTCATGGAAGGACGTCTGTGAACTAGACGACGCTGTGCGTCCGCTTAGGATGCTTCATGTGTATGGGGCACAACCTCTTCCACGCGAGGAGGAAGTGTGGTTCAAGAGTCAGGTGAGGGACTTTGTGTGGGACTAGAAGAAGAGGAGATAAGGGAAAGAGACTATCAAAGCAAGCAGCCAAGAAACAGGGTCTATATGGGTTGGTCCAGGGAGGCGTACAGACATGAATCGTCCTGATCATATCATCAGGCAGGATTTGGGGACATACAACGGCCTATGATTTATTTTTGACACGGGTATATCACTCCTTTTCTGTAAATATTTTCGGGATGAGGTCTTCCGCTGTTGGGTTTGTGATTGCAGTCTTGCTGAGTAATGGGGCCCAAGGTTCCATGCGTTGACCAATGGCGTCCCCTTCTTTTGTAATGGTATCCGTATCTTATGCTGTCAGTCCAGCGTGGTCCGAAATGTATCTTGATCGATCACTATGATTAGCCTTGGGTAAGTCTATGCAATCCTCTATGTTATTTAGAATCCGTACAATGTAAACCAAAATACATGTAGCCTAAGTCATATACTTGGGACTTGATATTATCGTTTTAACTCGAACGTCGGGCCCCCTGTAAATCGCGTTATCCATGAGTGTGGTGGAAGATGCCGATTCATAATTCTTTTAGCATTCAAATTCAGGCCCTTCACTTTCCTTGCGCCATGATTCTCCCTTGCGCAGTACCAATATAACTAATAATTCTGTCATCACGAATACGCCACCCCAGGCTGAATACAATCCCCCATCTCCTAGAGCATCCTTCGCGGAGAGCGGGCTGGCATTAGAATTTATAGATACAATAAATAGTAAGAAACCTCACTTGAAGCGGTACAGCAATCATAACTGAAACAAAGGAAAAGAATCCTCGGAACGAACTATTTACAGCAACCGCTGTGCACGAGCGGCCAGGATTGGCATCAACGAGGTATGTCAATGTACACGTATACATCCATCTGGAAATGGATGTCAACGCAATCACGACAAAGAATGGCTGGTCTACCGACGTAGAGGTGAATCCAATAAGCACGAGCATGACGCAGATGACAGTGACGTTGACATGCTTTTCGCACACCCAAGCATAACCGATGACAGACAGAGGTACCCATGGCATCACCAGTTTCGAGCTCTCTAAGCGCATCTTCGAAAGACGTCAATGAACAAGTGTATGGGAATATAGAAAATATTCACTTCTGCGTAGCATTTGCCCCCGTTCGCTTCCATCATCTTCGCAAGCACTCGGTCGGACCAACGGCCGCCAATCACACTCCCAGCGATACTTCCTTCGCAGAAATTTAGCCACCTGCTACAATCTAGGGTGAGGATCTCACCTATACCAAGCCAAAGTAAGACCAAGCCAATCCTAAAAGCTCTATAACCATATCGACCGGCCAGAGTGCGGCAACACGTGTATGAAAGGGAATAGCTAAATCCGAAGATAAGTCCTTATCCCGAAGTTAAGTCACTGACATCATGTACATGAGGACAACCCTTCACTCACCGTTAGTAATAAGAATTAAAACATTGTTCTTGCGCGACAGAATTCGCAAGTATGGCGGAAAGGGATTGATGTCTTTGAATGATAGTTTGACATCGTCCAGCCCTGTTTTAGAAGTGACCGCTGAGATATATTCCAGCGATTGGAGCTGCTTCTCGGCGTCCTTGACAGGTGTTTGGTCCTTGCTGGACTCATTCCCAGCTATGATAGATTCGTTTGGACTCCGAACGCGTTCTTTGGAAGCATGTCGCTGAAAAGCGGAGCGATAGGCTAGACTCCGTTCACGTCGGTGTGTATCCTTGAACAGGATGAGGAAGGACAAGAATACGACTGCTGCACAGACAAGCAGGAAGTAGAAACAGGCGCGCCAGTCGAAGGCTTGTGACAACGAGCCGCCGAGTATAGGGCCCAGGGCGGGTCCCAAGAGAGGTGCAGCAAAGAAAATACCCATCATGGTCCCTCGCTCATGAGTGTCGTAGATATCAGCCAGGGTCGCGGCCGAAATAGCCATGGCAGCGCATGACCTACAGGAGAAGGCGTCAATGATCAATTAGTACTCAGTGCTTTTTGGATAAATGCTCACCCCGCAGCTTGAAGTGCTCGCATGCCGATCATCACCTCGATGGTCTTTGAAAGTGCCAAAGCAACGTTTCCTACCACGAACAATGCCGAACCCACGAGATAAACAGGCTGCGATGAACGAGATCACATTTATCACGCAGACCGAGAAGTGGAACACCTTAACCGACCTTACGACCCTTAATCTCACTTGCTGTGGTCCATAATAGAGGAAAGTTTCCCTGTGGGAACAGGAACGCCGCCATTGTCCAGCTAACCTGGCTGCTTGTTGCATGTAAATCTGCTTCTATCAATGAGTTCGAGGCTGCAAGACTATCAATATCATACAACTCATTGTGAAAAGATGTGCGACAAACGATTTTGGATGTTGGAAGCTAATGCAGACACCATTGTAGCCAGTGATACAATCCATAAAGTCGTTGTCTATATGTAGTACAGCGTCAGGCTAATCGCAGAGTACATGGCGTGATACACGCACTTTTCTGGCAGGACTCCATTGACGGGGGTCATCATTGACTGAAATATGTTCTGTGTCAATTGTACTAGCTGCGCCTGTGGACGACTCGGTATTAGCGTCTTGGCGCAGCGTTGTGGGTTCGGACACGGAACGCGCGTTGGTAACAGTTGGACTAGCCATGAGCCAAAGACTGAAAAGATGTGACAGGGGAGGTCAGTCTCTGACCCAAGATTGCACGACTTCTTATACAATGAAAGGGGCCACTTGTATCTTGCGCTCTCAGACATCGTGATACTGGTATATTCCGAGCATGTGTACACCCCTTTTGTAAAGGCAACCCTAGCCTGACTAGCCAGCTGTCGCAGATTGTTCCGACAGAATCCCGAGTGGATTTTCTGCGGTCCGAAGGATGCTCAGGCTGCTGGTTCCTTCTGCCGTACTCATCGTTAACAGTAAGAATCCTTGTGGCGTTTATGGTTACTCGGAGATCCCCAACTCACGAAGAGCAGAAGCAGCATTGTCCAGATCGAATATAGGATCAACACCCAACAGCTGAGCCTGCCAGGATGTGAAGGGCAAAATAGACCAGGGACTCTAAAGTTGTTCGGATCAATTGACTTGTTCTAAAGTCATGTGTTTTCTTACCGTTCTCAACCTCGCCTACATCTCGTGATCATGATGGGAGCCAAAATTGCCACACACTAGTATGACTCCGGCGCCTGCTATCAGTCACGTAAACTGGGAAGTTGGGACGGATTGACACCGGTTCATCACATGACCTAGCGTGACATTTCGCAGATGAAATTCAAAACGCATTGCACTAGGCCCTAGGCCCATCTGGGAATTCGAATTTCCGGGTCCGTCCGGCGCAGCTTAGCCACTATGTATGCAATAGAGTATGACACTAGTACATTCACGAGACTGAACATCAGAGCTGCAGCCCTCACAGATTTGGTCCGGACTATTTCAGTGATGAGTGAAAGCACATAGAATGGCGTCTTCTGAACTCCATATATTTGTCCACATTTAATGAATGCATGTCATAGTCCCCGTCACTGCCCTGGGTATACTGGTCTAGCTCGGGTCCGGTGCAGCGAACGTTTTCAATGGCTCAATGAATTTTATCCTTCGACACACCGCAGTGTTCAAGCTTCCTACCAAAAGTGCTCCGATCCCTTTATGCATCGAATTCTCTTTCCGGACTCGGAGTCTTCTAGCCATCAACGAACGTACATCAGGAAACCGACGCGAAAATGATAAAATTTGAGAAAGCTTTATCTGAAGTACAATTTGTATAATATGCATCATAATTGTATTTCGTTTGAGAAAGCTTTGTATACCTGGACTAAGTTGGATACAACCTGCCAAATACACATTTGTGACGGTTTTATTACATTTATCTACCAGCTGATCATCAAGATGGCCTATATTGTAACACCCACCAGCATGACAAAGGAATATTATGTTGTTAAAATACCGCACAATCACCTAGTTGAGTATTACTTGTCGTACACTACAATTTTGCCCTGCCCTGGTCATGGCATGTAACTTTCGGCATTTTATTTTTTCTTCACAATCTCTAGATGAACTGCGAACGTCAGATAAAGCTATATATGGCTGGACTACAGTGGGATCAACGCTGCCAAGTGTCCAAGGATGTGGAACCATGATAGTGCGTTACCATGTTGTCTCAATACGGCTGTCGCATGCAAGCCATCATAATCTCGACAAAGCCTTCCTCATCGTTGCTGTGGAATATATAGTTATAACGCTAGATTGGATGGGATAACTTCGCTGAGTACACAATGTGAGTAACCAATGACAGTGTGCTGTCATCCTTCCCAATCTTGACGACATATGTTCATCGTATATAATGTTGGCTTACTATTTTGTCCTGCACAGAGACTCCATAATTGCCAGCGCCGAATAATGTCTTACAAGAGTAGGCTGTCTCGGCTCGAGCGGCCTTCGACTCAAGGGTGCGGAGCGATGGTATTGCGGTACCGTACTGCAGCAACCGCCGAGGTCTGGTCATCAGTTGCAAGGTGAGCGAGTTTGTGCTGTCTCCGCAAACTCTCCATGGATGTCGACGCCAGGTGATATCTCACAAGGGCAGGCTGTCTCAGTTCGAGCGGCCTTCGACTCGAGCGTGCGGAGCGATGGTATTGCATTACCATACTGCAGCAACCGCCGAGGTCTGGCCATCCGTTGCAAGGTGAGCGAGTTTGTGCTGTCTCCGAAAAGTCTCCATAGATGCCGGTGCCAGGTGATCTCTTACAAGGGCAGGCTGTCTCGGTTCGAGCGGCCTTCGACTCGAGCGTGCGGAGCGATGGTATTGCATTACCATACTGCAGCAACCGCCGAGGTCTGGCCATCCGTTGCAAGGTGAGCGAGTTTGTGCTGTCTCCGCAAACTCTCCATAGATGCCGACGCCAGGTGATATCTTACAAGGGCAGGCTGTCTCGGTTCGAGCGGCCTTCGACTCGAGCGTGCGGAGCGATGGTATTGCAGTACCATACTGCAGCAACCGCCGAGGTCTGGCCATCCATTGCAAGGTGAGCGAGTTTGTGCTGTCTCCGCAAACTCTCCATAGATGCCGACGCCAGGTGATATCTTACAAGGGCAGGCTGTCTCGGTTCGAGCGGCCTTCAACTCGAGCGTGCGGAGCGATGGTATTGCAGTACCATACTGCAGCAACCGCCGAGGTCTGGCCATCCGTTGCAATTTAAGTGAGCTTGTGCTTTCCCCACAGACTCTGTTATTTTTGTTCTCTTCAGCATGTTAACTTGGTTGCGAGGGCCAAAACATATTGGTATTAGGTTGTGTTTGTATTTAGTACATAATAAAGTGCTTAAACAAAGACTATGTGGAGGCTACAGTTACATTTGAATCAGAGGTGTTTTTGGCCGCAAGGCGTTTGATTCGGATTTTGGATAAGGCACTATTGGCGCTAATAGGCCGTTTAGCTGCAGAGGATGTAGGGAAAACCTGGCTGGGTACATAGTAATGAGCTCAGCGAAATGTCGAAGAGTTAAAATAATACCGATTCCACCATGTCAGTAGCTCGTCGACTTCCTTGGATTCGTCCGGGTCTTCGAAAAGGTCAAGGAGGCTGTGGTAAAATGTCTCAGAGTCTGTGGATGTGTCGGTTCGTGAGAATACCGAGGATGAGCTTAGGGCAAATCGGACCTGGAGTTGTATGTACGTCAAGATTATCGAGCTATAAAGATATGCTATTATGAACCTGAGTAGCAATGTAAGCTATGGAGGCAACGGTGACGCGGTTCATGCCATGAAGCCGAGCATTTCCAGATCGCGTGGCTTTTGGGTCTTTGTCGACCGAACTCGGGGATGTGAATACATGCTTGTAAGCCTGAAAATGATATAGTGAAGGACTACGTAGAATTTGTGCGTGCCCACTTACACATGTCAGCAAGCGACTCCTGAGGAGACCGCACCATGGGTCCTCCGCGTCATAGGTATGGTGAGCATACAAAAAAAACGGGGCCATTGATCTC